TTTTTATTGACATGTTCTATATCTCAAGGCAGCACTGCCAATTGTAGATCTCTGGAACGAAATAAATATGTATGTATGTATGTATGTATGTATGAGAATGATGGATCATCAGAGTGGACCTACAGCTCAAAGTGGATTCTGAAGGGGGAGGGGGGGACATAGTATTCTTCACATTCCCAAAGATTTATTTTTGGATGAGGTGAAGGTTTAGATCTGTGAGCAGAAGAAGCTGTACACAGACCTGACTGGGTGTGGTACTCAAAACTATCTGAAGTAGTCCAATGTCAGTCTGAGACCATCAGGCTCCCCTCTTGAAATATGTTATACTGAAATTTTCTTGACAAAGGTTTTTGCTCTGAGAAGCAAACGATATAATCAAGACTATGGGAGTAGCTCTCAAATCTATATAAAGGTACATTAATCTTTTCCTGTCATGATGGTTGAATGGAAGACTTCAGTAGATGAGTGACATATTTTATAAGGTGCACTTTATAGTGTGTATGTCCACTATGGTTCTGAATGGGTCAAACTGGAAGACATATCTTATTCTGATAGATGAAATGCAACAGTGGCCTTTTCAGTGTTGACTTCTCATACTGAACTTCATCTGAAACGGTTTTGCAGTTAAAAAATACAGACATAAAGACAAACAGGATATCTCAATTGCTTATTTTACACAGTACTTTTAAAACGTTTCTAAAGGCCTGACTTTCATAGATGCTTGACATATACAAAAATATGCATAGGCTGCCTACATACATGCTGATTATGAGAGTCACACATTGCTCATGGATTCCAAAATTGTTCTTTAATTCACCCACAAAATAGAAAGATTAATGTAATTACTTCAACAACTGAAACAGAGGCTGTAGAGCACAGACTAATATTTGTTGTCCTGTGGTATGTAAACAGGTAAACTCACCACACGAGAAAGCAAACAGTACAAGCATAAACAGCAGGAAGAACCTGACCATGTCAGTTACCATCCGGCTCAAGGACACCTGCATTGGTCCTAGATACTGACTGACAGAGAAGATGTATATCATTCGCAGACAGCTGTAATCAAAGATAATATTCATCAATATACATTGGAAATAACAATGTTAGATCTGTGTGTGTAAATTCTAGGTTTTTAGTGGAACATCAGGAGACCTATTTTTTTAGGCAGCTTTCCATTTAACGTACATATTTATATCTGCACAAAACATATTGCACAGTGCTCATCTAGTATACATATGATCCAAATCTCACGCAGGAAATTCATGCTTCATATATCCATTACACTATAAGGGAGTACAGATTTTCAGTTTTGTTCATCTGTTATTTCCTTCTTATATTCTTCCCTCCCTTCTTCCTCTCATCCAATTTCTCTTCCTTTCTGTCTTTGTTTCTTCTCTCGCTTTCTTTTCACTAAAGTATTTTATATACATTATATATTTTATTAACAGTCAGGGGCAATTCTTTCCCATTTGTGAGACAGGAATGATCTTGATAACATATATTGCAAGAAACATGACAAAGAACAAAATTATATGAACAGAAAGTGATAAATATTCACACATACTATTTTACATTAAATAACTGTTCTTTCTTTTTCCACATTCTGTTCAGAGATTGTTTTACAGTTGAGTACCAATCTGAAACATGCTTGATGAAGGCGGAATTGTGTTGAAGCCGGACAGCACTTTAGATTAGTTGATTTCCAACTTCTTAGATCTTTGTTACATTTACTTTGCCAGATAAATTTTTATAGAAATGTATATCTTATCTGAAGGATGAGTAATGATTATGTTACCTGAATATGTTAGCTACAGCCAAGAGACATTCTGAGAGAACCATGGCATCCACTGCAGGGTCCCAGCACTGTGTCCTCTTATTTGAAGGTATTCTCACAATCACCACCTGTCAGAAGAAGTCCAGTGGTGTATGGTATTTGGGTATTATTTCCATACATGATAAGAAATTTATTCTAGAGGTACAGTGACAAGTTCCCTGTGCATTAATACTATGATAAACTGAATATTTGATTACCAAAAACCAAAAATTATCGTTAGATTCAAACAGTGAGTTTAAAGAAAAGTGAATTTATTTATTATAGAAGCTATTGATGCAGTATGCATGACTCCTATATTCAATTTTTGAGACAATAAAGAAAAGTAAAGCTTCACTGTGACATGCATCAAGCATCTAACTACTAACCTCAAAGTACGCAAGAAGTCGAAGAATGATGACAATCACGTACAGGCAAGTTGTTCCCAAATCCATTACCTTCCACATGTCCTTGACATACTCCTTTAAGTTCTCTTCACCCAATATTCTTCTGACCTCCAACTTGATCATTCCTAAACACCAAGACCCTCTAAATACTGAGGTACAACATCCACATCTTCAATACAGTTATGAATAGTGAACAGCTGTATTTCAATTTGGAATATATTCCAATTCTTAGGTGTTTGGTAAGGATGCAAGACATACGTCACAATTACCGTGTGAGAATACTATGTGAAGAACTTATACATGCACATAAACAAACAACCCCACGCATGCACGCGCGCACGCACACACACACACACACACACAATAAAATATTATAAATTAAATTTATTGAGGAGATACAATTAATCAAAATTTGCTAACAGAGTTTAAAAAGAAAGAATTATAATGCTGTGGCCATGGAAAAAAAATGGATAAGACAAGGGTGACAATAAGGGCACTGAAGTTAATGTATGAAGGAAAGAGGCATATATGATGAACTGGAATAAGGTGATTTGGCCAGGAACTGTAAGGCATAAAGAAAAGAGAAGCGAGCTGATAGGAAATTGAAAAGGCAAGACTATGGAATGAATGAAGAGACTGGAGAATTTCATCCATCCATAGAATGGAAACGATGTTCAAAGCCGAACATGCAAATTCTTCACATGCGTAACATAAGTGGCTGTTGTTCACAGACTACAGGAGGAATCTGCTGTGTTCCCACTAAGTATTAATGGCATTTACCCACCATGTAAGGTTTGTATGACAGGGCGTGGGTTCTCAAGACTTCCTCATGAAAGCTGTATAATGTTTTCTTCTAACAACACATAGAACCTGGTAACTGTTCTTATACCTGCTTGTTTGAAACTTGCACCATTTCTGAGTCCATAGACCAGCAATGTGTGAGACCACACAGTGCTGCCTACATACTACACAGAGTAGATCCTAATGCTGCACTTAGGAGGCGTTTACCTGTGAAAACCATTAGACAGTGGTGCTGCCATTAGGAAACGTCTGTAATGCCACACATATATACCATAATGTGACCTATACTCAGTGTTATGTGCCGTAAAGTAAAAGATAAAGGTAGAGGTGAAGTTGTCCTTGGGATTAATTAAGCACTTACTTACTTACTCATAGAGCTGAGCCCTTCTGGAGGAGCCGTCAATTCTTTAGCTATTCAAGAATTTCCCAGCATTTTATGGAATTCAAAGGTTCATTACCATGTTCACAAGAGTCCTCTACTGGTCCCTATCCTGAGCCAGATCAATCCAGTCCATACCATCCCATCCTATCTCTCTAAGAACCGTTTTAATATTGTCCACCCACCTACACTTTGGTCTTCCCAGTGGTCTCTTTCCTTCTGGCTTTCCCACCAAGATCCTATACACATTCCTCATCTCCCCCATTCGTGCTACATGCCCTGTCCACCTCATCCTCCTTAACTTGATCATTCTAATTATACTTGGAGAAGAGTACAAGTTATGAAGCTCCTCATTATACAGTTTTCTCCAACTTTCTGTCACTTCATCTCTCCTTGGTCCAAATATTCTCCTCAACACCCTGTTCTCAAACACCATCAGTCTATGTTCCTCCCTTAATGTCAGAGACCAAGTTTCACACCCATACAGAACCACAGGCAAAATTATAGTTTTGTACATTCTGATTTTTATGTTTTTGGACAGCAGACGAGAAGACAAAAGGTTCTGGACTGAATGGTAGCAAGCATTACCATGAGACACCTGTCAGGATAGCAGGTCTCTGAGCCAAGATTCAAAACCAAGCTTTCTCAAATAAAAATCAGAATTGTTACCATTGAACGGCAATGTTCAGAGGGGGTTTGTGTGTTTACTTTTAGACATAAATAAAAGAAAATCAACAGTCTTTAAGATTTAGTACTGGTAACAAAAGCTTGTGTATATTACCACATAGCCAGGCAATGATGAGATATTCTGGAACACTTGGTCGAGCCCTCTGGGATGCTGTTTTAGTTACATAATTTATAGGTTCATTATTGTTTTGCTTCGATTCCTCATCACCTTTCTTCTGTGATGCCCAAATGAGTATGGCTGCAATCATATCATGAAGCAAACATGTTTAAATGTAGCACACAAACCAGTGACAAGGAAGTAATATTTATCTCTTGGAAAATAAGTATATCTCAAGTCGTGTGTAATGTAATATTAATCAGAAATGATCTGCCTAAAATCTATATCTGCATTGATGAAAGGAAATATTTTGTTTCTTTGCAAAATAGTATCAGTTCTCTTTAAAGCAGATATTATGAAAAATTATCCATTAAAAATAAACAGCGAGGAAGATTGTTTACTTTCACTAATCTGTAAAGAGATAAAAAAAAGGTAACCAGTAAAATTATAACACAGAGTATTGCATAATATCCTAATTCAGTTTGCAATGACAAGAATACTAATTAAGTGCAAGGAGAAGGCTCTGTAACATTTTCCAAAGGCTTCCAATAATCTTAATCCTGCGCTGAACAAACTGGAAAAATACAGGATTTCATTACTTGTATAACATTTTTAAGTTAAGACTCACTAAAGGAAAAAATCTCTCTTTGTTAAGTACAAATACAGTCCCCACATTATGGAAGTGATAAGTTTCCAAAATTGTCTATATCATTAAATTCTATAATGCAAATCCTATTTCTTCACTGACTCCCTTGTTACAAGTGGAGAAGTATTACTACATTTTTTTAATCAAGAGTTTCATTAAGAGTACATTTTTATCTGTCAGAAATAATTGTATATATACAAAAATAAAACATCTTGAATTAGGGAAATACACTGCAAAATCAAGATAAACTTGGTAAAAGCAAACACACTACCAGTCATCCCCTATATCATAAATGAACATGTAAAGGTTAGCCAATTTCCAGGAACATATTCTACCATGTTACTGACCCATATGTGCAATCAGTCCAAATTTCTTAACAAATAATCATTTTCTCATACCCTGAATTTTATGGTCAAGTTTTATAACAGACAAAATTTGGTAACCCAAATGTCCATAATGTAGGGATGCTACAATATGTAGTTCAACAGCTTACCAAGAAAGGTTAAATAAGATGCTGAATGACAAATAAATTTGATGAATGGCTTCTTCAGTGTCTGCCCATATGAACTTGTGGGAGCCATAATGTACATTAGTGACAAGAATGGGAATGAAACAGCAATGCGTACTGTTTCAAAAAATTGTAAAAACACGTTCTTGCGTCGGAACCCTGGCAGACCCTCATACCAGATTGATGCCAGAAGTTGCTGAACATTTGGGTGTGTCACAAACTACAAGACAAATGTGGGAGAGATTAATAATATAATATACCAAATCCCTGAGTAAGACATGTTCTACCAACATGAATCAAGTTCAACACCATTTTTAAAGTTAGGTCATTTTTGAATAACATGACTTGCTTTCTGGTCTACCATGACTTTCTGTAACATTACATTATTTCTTATGAGAAATTCATGTCTGACTATCATAACTTGACCTTACCAGTTTTTCAGGAATGCATCTATTGTGTTAGTCAGGGACTGGGAGTGTAAACACTGTATTAAACATAATTTGGATATTTCTTTATTTGTAAGCATTGCTGTGTATTTCATAATTATCTCTGTTTGAACTTTTTAATATGCTAATAAAACAATTTCTTGATTACGTTTTTAAGTGTTTCTGAAACGTTTTCTGTGGAATCCCAGCATTCCACAAAGTGGGGGGGGAGGTTCCACAAGGAAAGCCTTTTCCCATATGAAAGAATGATAACAAGATACAGAAACAGGCTAATGAGGCGCCACAAGATATGAGAATTAAAGCTTCCATCATCATGCTGAGCATAAAACGAATTAGTGAAGAAAGAAATTCACTTTTTGCATTGCAAATTGCAAATATATAGCATATTAGTTTATAAGCTTCAGTTATTGTATAAATAAAATGTTATTTTTGTTTCCAAATCGGTGCAATTAGATAATGTGCTGATCTCATATCCTTGTTAACACTTATTTCTTACTATGCTTATTTATTAGTGATTTAGTTCCTTTGCTTCATATGCAAAATATTCCCAGGTTTTCCGTGTTAATTGGGTCCCTGGGTGCAGACTCAGGTTGCATATGATGGTGATGGTCTAGAGGTATGAAGTAGCTGTGAATATATTAAATAAGCAGTCGTGTTCAGTCAGGGTAGAGACCAATGTTGCATTCTTTTGGGTATGATAATGAACCTTCGAGTTCCATAAAATGTTGGGACTTTCCTGAGTGGCTGAGCAACGGTTTGTTTCCCCAAGAATGACCTTGCTCCATGGAGTTAGATAATTGCTGATGTGTTTTATTCTCTTTATTCCAATGAACAGCATGATATAGGGTCATTCTTGAAAAATTGAAAATTACTCATTGGTCATAAAAGTCCATGCTTGTATGAAACCAGAAAGTTCATTACCATACATAAATAAGGATCCTATCCTGAGCCATTTCAATCCAGTCTACACCTTCATATCCATCTCTGCTTAGGTTTCCCAATTGGTTTCTTCCCTTGAAGTTTTAAACAGAAATTCTGCATACATTTATGCTTCATGCTACCCATATCTATATATTGGAACAAAAATAGAAGCATAAGGAACTATATATTTCCAAGCAATTCTGACTGCTTCTATGATAAGCGTTTTTTACTTTATGTTTATGTAAATTTATACATATACATTCTTTATGTAAATCATTTCAATATATGAAGTTTCTCTTCTGCTACTTTCATTTTGTATTTACTTCAATGAGTTAATATGCCAGACATTCTGACCTCCTTCTGATGAAATCTCACAGCCAGCCTGAGGCGTCTAAGGTGCATGCGTCCTTCACTATGTATCACTGGCTCCAGTGGATCATGATTAAGAATTATTTCTAGTTCATGTGAGCTCCGGGTGTGGTCGAGCAAAGCTGTAGCGAAGACCTTGCATTTCTTCTTCAAATCCTACAACAGATTTCTGAATATATCATCTTAAAGTCAAGATAACGAATACAATAACTGGATGCGACAACTGCATAGTATGATACAGCAACAACAGCAACCTTAAAATTACTGTGAGTCATTCCCTAATTGAAGAATCAGTAGTGCTTGCTCTCTGTTTGAAACTTAATCTATTTTCAAATATGATTTCCTTTATCAGTCTTCAGGTTTTCATCACAGTTTGCAGCTAATTTTTTTCCTCTTTTTAGTAAATGATATGGTGATATGGTATTTTTGGTTCCTGACAATTTGGGACCTTGTCTGCCTCCATCATCAAGGCAAACTGACTAAACAGTAGTCTACTTCCACTGTCTTGTGGGTTGGAGCTAATGATTTTGGTATCAGGTGTTGTCTGAAAACTTCACTTTGAAGATGGAAACAGGCAGGTTCACCACAGGTTAGCAAACCAGGCCATTACACCTCACCATCATTTCCCCCCCTGAATTGAACAACCTTCTACACTGGAAATTTATTTGTCTTAGCATTCAACTTGCAAGGGACAAGAATGTCTTGAGTGCTGAGATATTTCTGTTCTTCCTTTCATTCTGTATTAGTGTCACTTGTTCCAGTTCAAATCTCACATAAACTAGCCTGGAATTAAACCTGGACCTCCAGAGTGAGAAACAAGCATCTGCTGACAAACTATTAAATTGAAACATGTAGCAAGAACAACGAATGTACATAGTTAATGACATTTTAAAATATTAACAAACACTTTTTAGTTAATTAAATATATTTTAGTGTCTTTTAAGAAAGGACTGACTTTGTTGCATTACAGATTGAATACTTTATAATTTAAAATGATGGCCCAATTAAACATGTGGCTAAAATATAACATAAATTAACAAAAAATGGATAGGATGATCATGGTCTTGTTGGGATTTGGTCCCATATAGTGTGATATATATTCAGGGTATTCTAAAGATTGAGTCAGTACATTCCTCTGAAAAATTAACAACAGTCTACCACACTACATGACCCTAATTCCAGAAAAAGGTAATAATGTTCAATGTTACTGCTGTGACATCTTCTAATCTCACAAGGTGATTATTCTGAGAACCATTATTACTTACCTGATACTCACTTCTGAACTCATGCTCTTCAAAACTCAGTCTCCTAAGCTCCCAAGACAATTGAAAGGCTGATAGAATCGGGTCTTTAGCTGTCAAACATATGAGCGATGGACTTGCCAGAGCACGGTAAGCATTCATCCTTGAGCGTGAATGGTGCACACTGTCTCTTGTACATGAAGTTATACACTCACAACAGCCACACCTTAAAGTTTAGAAAACAAAGTCATATCCTGTATTCAGTTTTACACATAATCAGTTTCTTCACTGCTTCAAATAATTACTAAGATTTAACTTCTATTTATTTTCATATTGTACCTTGCAAAGTTATTGTCTGAATATACACAAGAAGTCATTAGAAGAGACTGATATTTCATTATTATTGTTGCTGTTACTGTCATTATCATCACTGTTGTCATCCTGTTGTTTTAATCATTGTGGTTGCTGCTGTTGTTGTCATCATCACATTGTCATGACTTTGCTTTCAAGGTGGTTATGACTGATTTAACATGAGCTACCAGGTGGTGTGATGCTGCCTGCAGGTCTGTCTGCTGACAAGTCTAATTAGGCGTCTGAACTACAGAGTTTCGAATCCATTCCCAGAGCCAATTGCTGATCCCTCCAGAGCATTAACATATCAAGAAAAGCGAGATCCGCCAACAAAGGTATTATGAAGAGAGATCATATAACATGTGGACCATACATTCAAGGCACTACTGGGCACACTTTGAGGCTACTTAAGGAAAAGGCATTCACACAATATAGAAACTATTTAACAAAATGGTATTTCACTTCAAACCCACCAAGGAGAGACAATCCACAACTCATAAATCAGGCATTTATAGATTGCAACAGGATGCTTAAATATAATATTGTAAAGAGGCTTAAACTTGGCGGCGGTCAGACATACGACCGTTCAAGTGACTAGACTGCCGTGGTAGCGAATAATACTGGAAATAGGGCGTAATCTGCTGTACTCAGCCTGGACTGACAGAGGCCTTGTATATATTGTACATAAAAGTAAGAAATAAGTGTGTATTGTAAATTTATGTAAATACAGACAGTGGACATATTAATACAGACTGACTGACAAATGACAGACCCGACCTCTCATCAGAGAGGGTGCCCCACATAGACCAGACAGTAACTTTCATTCAAAAGAAATATCTTTGACTTTGACTTGTGAGAACTGTATAAGGGCTTTCCCTAATTCCCAAAGACATTAATCCTGGAAACAGCAACTGAAATATTTTCCAAAATTTTTGAAAGCTAAACCTAAGTCAATTCAGCTTATTCCCAAAAGCCAAAGCTGTATGTTACTTAACCAAATTAATTACTTTCAGCAAAACAAAACCATATGGTGTCATTTAATCTAATTACAGCATCAATAATCTAGTCAAACTTCTCTCTAGCTATACTACAATGAAACTCATATTTGAGGTTGCTTTGGGGGAGCAGTGGATTTAAACACTAAACCAAAGAAAATCTTAAATGTAGAAAATTTAACAGAAAGATTACTGATTTGGGATCCTTTAAATTAAACATTTAACAAGAGAAAATGCTAAATCAATGAAAATTAAACGAGACTTCCATTATGTTAGGTAATAAAACCAATCCAACACAGAGCACAGAACACAACAGAAAGAGTTGCAGTTTTAATTACCATACTGAACATGATCATTGACATAATGGTCACACTCATTTAGAGAAGACTTTGATTCTTTATTGGACTCTGAATGTACCTAGAAAGAAGTATAATATAAATTCCATGACAGTACAGTAAATTCTCCCAAGATTTGACTGTTATCAGGTGCTCAGTACCTGACATGTGGCACAGGAAGGGTGGCACCCCTCTCTAACAGCATTCTGATAATTTCAAAGTGATCCAGATGTGCTGCTAGGATCAATGGAGTAATGTCACAACTGAAACTGCGACTCTCTGATGGCAAGGACTCCCAACTCTATGAACACACGTAACTGAAAATAATATGTGCAATCTCGACATTTTTAAAATGAAAAAAGAATTTCTGTACCTGTTGGTAGTGTGGAAATGTTCAGTACATAGTTCTATGACTGAAGAACTAGGACATAATTTTTTGGTGGTCCAGGGCAAATTTAAAGTGAACTTTAAGTCAATTTCTCTATGCCCCATGCATGTTATATGCCCTGACCATCTCATCTTCCATCAACATCCATTCCAATAACATTTGATAAGGAATACAATTTATGAAGTCTCCATTATGAAATTTACTCCAGCCACCTCTTACTACTGCCCTCTTGAATTAAAAATAATCTCCTCAACATCCTGTTCTTAATAATCCTCAGTCTATATTCTTCCCTTAATGTGATAAGCCGAGTTTTAGAGCAATGCATGAAACAAACGGTATGGATAAAATCCAGTTTGCAATTCTTGTAAAGTAGGGCTTATATTAAACAAATACACATCAATATTATGTTAACCCGTCAACTTTAGTGTAGTTCCCCAGTACCACAGTTCTTCTACATCCATCCACTAATTTCAGATATGATATACTTACTACTAGACACAACCCCCGAAGAGTTATTCATTTTATGCTGTTTGTATAAAGAGTTCAAAACAGTGGGAAGCTCTTACATATTGTTGTCCTTCTGCTGTTACTGCAGCTTCATGGTCAAGAAGTAGTTCCACTGCTTCCACAAACTCCTCTGAAATTGCATGCAGCAGGGCATCCTGCGCCTGTACACCTAACGATATGAGTAATGTCACCATTGGCAGGTCCTCATTAATAATTGCAAGTACAAGAGCAGTTCGTCCCATTGGATCTATACAGTCCTTGTCCACAGAACCTGAATCAATAAGCCTGAAAGAAACCAGTGCTCAGATATAAATTAAAGAATTTTCAGAATTGAAATGTACAAAATCTAGCCTCTTCTTCCAATGTGAAATTTTGACATCTCACATTTTTGCTAAAAATTCAGTAGGTACAGTTTAGTACTGAAGTGTTCAGCTTGTATTCAGGAGGGATGTGGCTTGATTCTTAGCCAGTCCTGGCTAATTATGGGCTCCTCAGTCTTTGTAGGAAAGTAAATGCAGTAATCTTTAAAATATTAATAATGTTACATTTCATTGCATTCCCATTCAAACACTGTTCTTGTAGTGCTCTAACAACAAGACAAGAACTTACATACTTTTAATAGTTACCCTTAGCAAATGTGATGGATATTTGGATCTGAGGTTATTAACAACACTGTATCAGATGCAGAGAATTTATAGTCAAATGAAACAATAATATTATTATGAATGGAAGAGAGTTGGAAGTCGTTGGATTATCTGAAAGTTCTTTCCTGGAATTAATATGGGCAGAGTGAGGAAAATCATGAAGTGCTATAAGAAGACGCAGAAACATGGCCAAGGCTCAAAACGTTGTGTTATATAATTTGGGTAAATGATTGAATGCATGTAGGAAAATCTGGTGTAACTTCAAAACCATGACTAAACATAAGAAGTAGCCAGGCAGTGAATCAACTATTTTTTTTTTCATTTCATGTATCCTGCTGTGCCACTCATACATCACCAAATCAGTCATTGTTTACATTCCCTACAAAATGGACAATACTTTGTAAGATGAGGCACCGACTAAATAATTAACATTAATATTACTATATCTACATCATGAGCCTTGAAAACAATTTATTATATATATACAAAATATAGAATACTCCAATTTGTTTGTGGGAACACAACAAAACCACAAAAACCAATGACTGACTCGATGATGTAAAACATCACTGGAAGAATTTTATTCTTGTTTTATATTATAACTTTTGTTTTATATAATCTAATTTATTGTATTTTTATGCCAAGTATTTGAATATAGTTAATATTATTGTATCCAATTTTATTAGTACTGCAGTTCAGTGGTTGTATATACATATGTTGCCCATGTACGCGTATTTGCCTGATGATGGCTTTTAGCAGAGCCAAACTAGGCACTGACCTTAATATTGTTGTGCTGTGATGGTTTTAATAAAGAAATTATAAACCAACTATTTATTTATTTATGAGTATGTTATCTCACATCCCATATTCTGTTTTCAGACTTATGGAGATAGAGACTGTTGGATAACAGAATGATTACTGATGATGAATATAGAAGGATTATAAAGGAGGAAGTGGTTCTGTTATCCTAAAATTTATATGAATTTAAAATATCCAGAATATCTGAGCTTGTCTAACATACTCTTATTTGAATTCAGAGACTGCTTAATGGGAAGAAAATATGTATGCAACATTGAGCAAGATGCTTACTGTCACTAGGATGGTACCATCAGCAGTACTTTGAGAATATGTCAAACTATCTGCATTACAAATTCAGCATGTGGCCTCATTGGTTTATAGCTATGTTATTACCATGCTTTGTTACATACCGTTTTGTAGCCCTAATATCACCTCTCTGTACAGCCAGAAGAAAATTTCTTTCATCTATGGAGAGCTGAGTCCTCACACGCTTCCTAAGGAATGCTTTCTGAGTGTTATTGGCATTCTGACCCTGAAAAGATAAACACATTCCTACAGTTGCATGCGTTCTTAACCTTGACACTAGATGGAGGTGAGTTGTCAGTTTAATGATGCACCCTCTTTATTCCCAAGGAAAGATCCAACAGTTCCCAAGGAACAGGAAGATGGATGGGCCCCAAATCTCCTCTAGACTTGATGGAGAAGACAGAAATCGTCCTTGCCAGAAACAGGACTGCAATTCCAACCCATAGCCTAGCTGTTATACCATCTGTGCCATCCCAGCTCTGCAATTATAAATATTACAATTACTCATAACTGTAGTAAATTTACCATGAAGATGTCTCTGTAGTGCATATTCTAGATCACGTAGAAACATTTAAATTATCAGTTCCATAAATTAGAATAGGATGCATGCCTGTACAGAAAGGACGTGAGTAGAAAGTGATATGCTGATAATGAGCTTCATAGGATTCTGAGTAGATATTAGTCAGAATTTTTAAAAGCATATCGATTTCATTCAAGTTTGCTCTCATGACAAGAAGGGATATAAGGGGTGTAAAAATAAAGCTCCATATATTATTTATGCACCAGATAGACGTGAGTGACAAAACTTTGGTGTCTACTACTTTAACTTTGGGGTGAGGACTTCCCAACCCAAATGTGATAATAATGAAAATGTGAATAAATGAAATGAAATGGAGAAATAAATCACTATGCTCCCACAGGGAATTAAAACCAGTGTCTTTGGCCCTGACCTAACTATTATATTTCATGTCACTTTTAGTTTAAGATATCAAATTCATAATTTACTTTTGATAAAGAAACATCCTGATGCTTACTGTGGAAGTGCGAACAACATGTGATGGTAATCTATGAATATTACTGCCAACACAACAATAAATGAAAGAGTTCATTTTCAAATAAAGATGAACATGTATTTATTTGTGTATGAATAGATTTTATGCTACATGCTTTGAGCTATATATATGTCTTCATTGGCATTCATATATAAACTGTAAATCAAGTTGTGTTATATATATAGGTCGAAACCAGTGGCATAAAATCTATGCATAAATACACGTTTGTCTGATGGAAAACAATCTCTTTCATTTATTGTTGTGTTGATGATCATATTCATAGATTCTATTCACACAACAGGATGCAATCCATAAAGTTTATGTTATGGTAATCTACTAGTGAAGTAAATTTAAACTGTGTAATTAAAATAATAATTGTGAAATCATTTTGAACCTGAAGAAAAGCCATAACTGTGTCAAAGAACTGTACTGTGGAAGAGAAACAAAAAACATGGTGGTAAGTGGATATATATAGTCTTAACCTTGGCACTAAATAGAGACAAATGGTCAACTCCATATTCTAGATACCTTTGCCATTAGTTAAGAAACATAAATCTCCACTGTACATAAATTTGATTCTGACCTGGTCTTACATTCAGTAAGTATAATCAAGATTATTGTGTTGTGTACCATGAACATAAACGTTCCTCACTGTCAGCAAAACTCACCTGAATTCTCTCTTCTCCTTGCAATTCTGCACCCGCATTCAAAGATGTGGTAGACATATGTAGAGAATGGTGACTACCAGGCTGAGCATTAAAAGCACTCTGGTTTGCAGATACATTTCCTTCTCCATCTGTGCATTTACATATACAGTCTTTACAACAAGAAACACAATGTTTTTTTAGAAATAAAAAATATCTGAATAAGGAGATATGAGAATATATCAGAAGTGGCCAAGCAAGTAAATTCCTCTTAACATTACATAATCTCTATAAAAATTTTCACACAATTCATAGGCTGCGGTAACCAGCTCCAACACATATCAGATGAAAATTAAGCTAACTATCCTAACTCAATGAAATTAAATAATTTACTGAACTGGAATTCGTTTGGAGAAATACCATCCATATATACATAAACAAAGGTAATTATGACTTCATTATTACAACAAGAATTGGTCAGTGAGTAGAGGAAGTCAAAATATTGTGGAAGCAAAAGTGGCATAAGCAACTGGTCATGATACTATAAAGGCACTTACTTACTTACTTACTTATTCATGGAGCTGAGGCCTTCTGGAGGAGCCACCAATTCTGCAGCTACTCAAGAATTTCCCAGCATTTTATGGAACCCGAAGGTTCATTACTGTGTTCACAAGGGCCCTCCACTGGTCCCTATCCTGAGCCAGATCTATCCAATCCATACCATCCCATGCTATCTCTCTAAGATCCATACTAATATTGTCCACCCACTTACACCTTGGTCTTCCCTGTGGTCTCTTTCCTTCTGGCTTTTCCACCAATATCCTATATGCATTCCTCGTCTCCCCCATTCGTGCTACATGACCTGCCCACCTCATCCTCCTTGAGGAGGAGCTCTTTCCTATTGAGCTTTTGTTCAATAACACATATTTTATGACAGGTTTTTGATGAGATTTCAAACACATTTAACAAGGCTGGTGTCAAATACACGTAACATATGTGAAAGTATTCAGGGAGTCTGGACATGGTTAAGAATGCTAATTAACATATTTTTCGCATAATTTAACGATGTCTTCCAAATAATCATTACACAGTATTATTCAGTTTCAAATTATAAAGCAAACTCGAATAGCTCTCTCCACATTCAAATTATCGTGTAATATAAGGCACATTAATTCTCTGAAGCATAAATTAGACAGAAAAATTAAATTTTATATCATAGAAAGCATGACATCGCATGTTATCGTCAGTGTCACGTAACTTCGAACAAGGCCCCGCATTCCTAGTCAAATCCCGCGCATAGCTTGTGGTGGGAGGAGGTTCTTAACACTCGCTCCTCCACTTTCACCACCCCCTCGTGTTTCATTGAAACTACCCTATTCTCTTTTCGAATAACATATTACAATAATACAAATATACTGTCACTCGTCATGCAAAGAAAAATATGTATAATTTAGCGCACAAGGAAACTGACGTTTATAAACAGATGATAGAAAAACCGTAAGTATAACCTGCTTCGAGGGTGCCTTATAAACAACTGGCCGCCTGTCAATTCTCACACCCTCGAACCCGCCCCATTGTCTGAAATTTTTCTTCTGGGCATTCAAGGTTACTCTTGGCCTTGTTCGAAGTTACGTGACACTTGCTTTACGTGGGTCTCTTGTCACCACGGCATGGCGCGTCCTCAGGTTGCGGATGGAGGAGAAGCCCTCCAGATGTGGAGGGTAGCTGCGAATATATTCAATAAGCAGTCGCGGACATCCGACAAAGGGTGGTATTCCAGATAGGGGGTTGGAATTGGAGCTAATATCTCCTCATTGTAAAAATAAGCCTCTTACGAAATGTCAGAAAGGACTTCGGACTTGGACTGATTCTTTGGATAAACCGACCTAAACTAAGAAAAATGGAATGGAATGTAAGAAGTCTGTATAGGACAGATTCACTCATGACAGAAGTGAAAGTAATATCAAAATATAAGTTCGGTTTAGCGGGAGTACAGGAGGTCAGATGGGAAGGTGGCAGCGAACTAGCATGCGAACACACGTTTTCCTATGGAAAGGGAATGAGAATAATCAATTAGGTATACGTTTTTTATACTCAAGAGAATCATATCAGCAGTCAAAAGGGTAGAGTTTGTTAGTGATAGGATATCGCACATAATACTAAGAGATCCCTGGTGTGAGATTGATGTTAAAGAAATGTACTGATGTATTTAACTTTCGGCTAGGGGGCAGAGAACAGCAACTTTATTACGCGAAAACGTAGTACGGAACGTATTACGGTCCCTAATATTTGTAACTGGAACTGTGATACTAACAGCTCCTAAAAGCGAAAAACATGTAATATAATCTTTTTAAAAGTTGGTTATAAATAATGCCCAACAACACCAGCAACAGCAGCAGAAACAACACAAAACAAAATAAGATAAAACAACAACATATAATACGTATTAAAGTATACACTGAAAAGAAATGTTTTCAGTTTCTTACTTCTGTGACACCGGCATTGTGAAACTGTATTAGCAGCTTTCCTTTTGGTGTGATGTAGACACACATACCATTGTTGAATATGAATTTACTTATTATTACAGTTAAACAACAAAAATAATTAGCACAAGAATGGAAAAAAAAGTGCATTAATTTTCAAATAATCGACATCAAACCCTGTGCCACAAATCCTTTTACCTCGAATTCCTAATCTTGTATAATGGCACAGATAAGGAACATTTTATAAATACTTTTTTTCCTTGGCACTACAGCCCCAGTGGGCCTAGGCCTACCTCCATGAACTCCGTTCACTTCGGTTTTTCTAGATCTTACACATACGGTAGGACTCCTTGGGCGGGTGATCAGCCCGTCGCAAGGCCTCTACCGGTAGACAAACACAGAAAACGCACACAAACATCCATGCCCTAAGTGGGATTCGAACCCACGATCCCGGCTTCCGAGCGAGCGAAGACAGTGCATGCCTTAGACCGCTCGGCTACCGTGACCGGCTTTTATAAATATAGTTTTGTTTAATTTCTTTTAGAGTGGTGTGTATGAATACAAACTTGCAATATGCTGGTTCCTGTTCATGATGTACAGACGCTACCACGTTGCACGTTGCAGAGGCAGTACTAATGTGACCTCTGGCAATAATCTGCAGGCGTGGTTGGTCACAGGTACCTAGAAGTGATATCTTAATTATAAAACATTTTACTAATTTCACAGGTCGCTTCGCCGTTCAGTACAGTCTTCGTTTCATACAGAGTTGTGTCTCCATTCTGCGTGTACAGTGCAAGCTGAAAATTCGGCATAATATTCGGAACCCATCAGTTGCCTCGCTTTCTCTACGCTAAAGAACAGTGCCTATTTATGGGTTCATCATGACATCGTTTTTGTTGCTATTCCGTGATCTGCTGAAATCTGCACGATTATGCAGCGTCGTGGCCTCTTTTGATAATAAACAGGTAAACGTGTCCCTATGCTTAATTAAGCACTATGCAATGAAGACGTATGGGGGAATGGAGGTCTAGCTCCATCATTTATGATGAGGTGAGTGGTCAGCGGCCCAGCTGCTTTATCCCCGGGAAAGGCGGTCCAGGTACCCATTGGATGAGGCTGGGTAGTCTGCAAGACGCTTCTGGAAGCTGTGGAGAAAAGAAACGCTCTTGCTGTTTCTGGAAACCGAATCCTGGCCATCCAGCCTGTACCTATAATGACTGCGTTATCCAGCCTTTATAATAATATCCTCTTTTATTTAATATAATTTTATCAACTGCATTCACTAAGAAGTTTCGTGATGGCTTTAAAAGACGAATTAAGAGCTGAAAGTCAGAGATAACGAAATATTTTAAGCAATGGCTACGAAATATCTCAGAAGAGTTGGTACCTCGGCCGATATTCGAACCGAGTGCCTCCCAAATGGAAAGATGGATCAATAATCGTTATACTGCTATGTTCGGTGGCTTATATTACAGTTACATCCCTGTATTTGCCTAAAGGGGCAGAAGAAAATAATAAGAAACCTACTTCAAGATCGTTCAGTTTCCGGTTAAGAATCACACTACAGACCTCTTGAATATTAACAGACACAACCGCTAGAACATGAGATTTGGTGCCAATGTTTTCCATCACCCACAAAAATCTGAATACACAATATATTACAAAATGGTTTGACAAGGCAGCATAATGGGTTCTTCGCATTCTGATTCTATCTTGTAGCTGATACTGTGCAACATACCCAAATTTCATTTATTTCGCGTACAACTGACATTCCAGAAAATGATCAGTCTATTCAAGTTCACGGCCTCTAGATAGGGACAGTGAAAATAATTTTATATAAATTATATTTCTGTTGTAATGAAAATGACCGAAACTTTGAATTTACAAAATTATACAGGTCTACTATAGATCTATGGTCAGTTAATAGGACTTCTTTCTTTCAACGGACAACTGCATGTTTTAATGAAGCTGACATTTTTCCATTTTCTAAATAAACTTTTATGCTCTGTCTTCCTTTCTAGGGACTGATAGGCTTATGTCACATGATCGAGCATGCGTTTACATCTCATCTCCAATTCTTTTCGTCTTTTATTCATTTTTACATATACAGAAAGGCCCATCCTGGACCCTATCCTGAGCTAGGTAATATGTTGTCCACATTCTCATTCCGTATATATTTAATATTATCTTTCATCGTTAATGAAATGAGAGCAGAGTAAACTGACTAGGGACCGTGCCATAGCTCAGGCGGTTAGTCGCCGGCTTCCCGGGTTCGAGCACAGGTCATGTCATGAAGGATTTGTGGTGGCCAAAGTGGCAGCGGGACAGGTTTTCTCAGAGTACTTCGGTTTCCCCTGCCAATTTTCATGACGCCAACTGCTCTACACTCATCATCATCATCTATTTTACGGTGCTGGTGCAATAGGCCAATTAGTGGCCGACATATCAAGTGGCCTCATTCTCAATCCACTCCAATAAAATAGAAACAAAAACTAAACTAAGCTGACTAGGAAAGCCTGATTATGAACCACGTTTTACCAATTTGGAATTCCTCCTTTTAGTACAAAATCCTCTTCTCATTTCACTGCTGAAGCTGTTTTACTCACGAATTTTTTTTTCTGTGGCGCTACAGCCCCAATTTGGGCCTAGGCCTACCTCCATGAAACTCTCCGTTTCACTTCGGTTTACTAGATCTTACACATTCGGTAGGACTCCTTGGGCGAGTGATCAGCTCGTCGCAAGGCCTCTACCTGTAGTCAAACACAGAAAAACGCACACGAACATCCATGCCCTGAGTGGGATTCGAACCCACGATCCCGGCTTCCGAGCGAGCGAAGACAGTGCATGCCTTAGACCGCTCGGCTACCGTGACCGGCTTAGTCACGAAATAGTACTCTGAATATTGTGAAGAACGTGTCACGTAGCATTAAGCTGTTGACTGTACTGTGTAATGTAACAGCAGAATTCTGTTGGGAATTGCATGTCAGTTGAAGCCTTGGGGCGCAACAGGGGCAGAGAACATACACGTTTTGATGAACATGCGTCACGCGGGTAAGTTCCAGAAACTCAGATTAACGCGCTATCTGGAGGGGCTCTTCTCTCTCTAGGCGAATGCCAGGATAATGCTTCGAAATTCCTCATGACTGCCTCTGTCCAAATTCTGGACTTATCACATCCATTATCATAGTCCAATATATGAAGCTTGTTGCTCTTACGGTACTGTCTAAGAAGATTAGCATCTTATAGGATGTGACGCTGTCTGGTACATGTTTACAGCTCCATAGCTGAAGCGGTTAGTCGCTGGCTTCCCACCGCGGCGGCCCGGGTTCTATCCCGGGTCTGATCAAGTGGGATTTGTGGTGGACAAAGTGGCACTGGGGCAGGTTTTCTCCGAGTACTTCGGTTTCCCCTGCCAATCTTCATTCCACCAACTGCTCCACAATCACCCTCACCTATCATCTGGGGCTGGTACAGTAGGCCAGAAGTGGCCGCAGTACAAGGAACTTAAGTCCCACCCCACTAGCAATAAAAAATACATGTTTCAGACTTTTCGGATGAATTTGCTGTTTTCGTCGTCTGGTTAGAGGACTGTACCCAGAAGCTGGAAGGAGAATATTCCTCTGACACCCTGGGAACCATCTACCAGATTATGTGGCATTACATTTCAGACGATAAGAATCATCAGCTTCCCACATAATTCTACACTGCCGTTGAAATAAAATATGGCTAATGCCATTCAGCGTGCGTGACAAATGGCCATAAAGGTCGCTCTACAGTCACCACATATGCTGTTTTCAAAATATATGTATATCCCTGTACAGGATCAAGAAACAGGTCAGTCAGTTCGGTCTCCAATTGTAAACAGTCAACCCCTGACAATATATTGAGAGTAGTGACTGTAGCGCAGCAGATCATGACAGAGTTCAATGGTGCAGTGTCAGAGGCAGAGAAAATTGTGGCAATCACGAAAATTGTATTAAACCTAATAAAACAAAATGGCCACTAGAGTTCATAGGCCCCTCAAAGTCATAGCATGAGCTCAGTAAACAGCTGCAAGACCTACATGTAGATGTGGCCCTGTATTCAGAGACATATCTGAAACCTCATGAGAGATTCTTCCTTTCAAATTACAACGTTTATAGAACCGATCGCCACTCAGGCAGAAAAGGCATTCCCCATAACCATGTAGAACTACCACCACTTGCTTCAGTAGAAGCGACAGGGGTCTGCATACCAATTGGTAATAGCGAAGCACTGCTTGCAGCTGTTTATAAATCTCCAGGCAAAGCCTGGAGTGATGCTGATATCACTGAGCTCTTAAGCTTTAGATGTAAGTCTATTTTGGCATGTGGTCTGAATGCTAAACACCAATTTTGGAATAGCAGAGTTTCAAAACCCTCAGGCGAGAAACTCGTGGATTTGTTTGACATGAATGAATTCGAAATTTCAGCACCACAGTGCCCCACTCATTATTCCCCCGCGGGAAGTGGTGACGTGCTGGATATTGTGGTCCTCCAAAATATCAGAGTGTCAGATGTCATCGTCTCTGATATTTTGGATTCAGATCACCTACCAATATTATTCCACATACTGGATCACGTTAAAATTAGGAATCTTTCGGAACTCGTTGAAAAAATTTACAGATTGGGAGTGGTTTCAAAGCCTCGCTTCTGAATTAATATCACCTAAACTAGAAATTAATTCAGAGGTAGAAGCCGATAAAGCGGCGCGCAACTTTGCAGCCTCTATTGCTTCGGCATATAGGTTGTTGACATGTAAAGTTATACTTTTGGACATAAACAACGATCTTCCTGGTCTACAGTCCATTCGCAGAGACGAGAGAGTCCTCGTAAACAAATGCACGCGGTATCTCCTTCGCTCTTTGAATGAAATCATGCAGCGATCATGTGATGCGTGTACCGTTGCAGGGGCGTCCAAAGATCACTCTTCAGTCTGAATGCAGGTTAACGTGCGTCCGAATGCAGTGAGTACACTGAGTAACTGCGCGCTTTGTCCACTCTTTGCTGTCAGCTGTGGCGACGCGGGGCTTGCTTTGTTTACGCTGTCTCGTCTCCGCGAATGGACTATAGATAGTTTGTTAAAACATAAGCAGAGGCTACAAAAATTGTGGCAAGAAACAAGGGATCCAGCTGTATAACGGCAGTCAACTGGGTCACAAAATCAATCAGGTGAATGACCCAAAAAAAGGCACTTGAACTGTGGGAAACAAAAATAGGCAACGCTGAAGTCACACCTCAGGTTATATGGCCCATTGCGAAATCTCTCTTGAAGAGAGAAGGACCCAGGGCACCAACCGCTATTCATTGTGCTTCTGACCTTAAATTTCACCCTTCCGAAAAAAGTCAACGCAATTGCCGACTGTTTGGAAATTCAGTTCACTCTGCACGATCTGTGTGACAATAACCATGAACGGGGGGTGGAGGCTAGAGTTCAAGCTCAGCTCGAAACCACAGACAACAACCCCCGTCAAAGGATAAGACCATGTGATGTATAAAAAATAAAAAATTCCTTGAATTCCTGCAGAATTGATGGCACCCCAAATGAATGCCTCAGGCACCTTCCAAGACGGCCATTGGTTCCATCTAACGCACCTATTGATTCATTGTCTTCGGCCTTCTCATTTTCCAAATACTTGGAAGGAAGCAAAAGTAATAACTTTACCCAAACCCGGTAAAGACACGAAATTCCCGCAAAATTTATGTCCGATCAGCTTCTTGTCCACGACAGGGTTGTTTTGAAATTGCTCCAAAAACATATTGACGAAAGAGGCCTGCTCAACACAAGCCAGTCTGGTTTTCGTGCATGTCACAGCACGACATTGCAAAGTCTGAGGCTGCTTGACCAGGTGACCCTTAATTTCAACAATAAAATGTCTATGGCCGCGGTGTCCTTGGACATCGAAAAAGCCTTTGATGCCACATGGCACTCAGGTTTGCTGTGTAAGTTATCCAAATTGCAATTTTTGAACAGTTTGGCCAAACTTACTGGGTCATTTCTCTCTCAATGTAAACTCAGGGTTTCGGTTGAAGGGGAAATGTCAGCGTCAAGGGAAATGCAAGCAGGGGCACCACAAGGTTCAGTCCTCTCCCCTACGCTTTTCAACTTGTATATTAATGATGCCCCCCAAACTCATGGTGTTCACCTGGCCCTCTTTGCAGACGATACCTGTCTATATGCAACAGATCACAAGGAGGGTTTTATTGTTAGAAAACTCCAGCACGTTCTCAGCTCAATGGAGACCTGGTGTGAGCGCTGGAATATTAAAATTAATGAAGATAAAACTCAGGGGGTTTACTTCTCTCGTGGTTTTTGGCCGCCTGAGTCTTGTCTTACCCTAAATGGATGAAATATTCCATTTGTAAATAGCGTAAAATATCTCGGTGTAATCTTCGATAAGAGAGTGACATGGAGATTGCACATCCAACCGATCGAAGCCAAGATGAGCACTGTAGATTAGTGTCTTAAGAAAACCTTCCACTGTTTTCATTTTCTGACTCTAATAACAATCACTTGCTAACAATTTTATTGGCAGAGAAGCAAGTTCTAACGTTTTAGATATACGGATTAAGTAAACTCAGTGGCCTGTAGTCCGCAAGTGAACTATACCGACCGAGCAACCGCCACTTGTCGGTGAAGTTAGTGCCAACTTTTGCGGGTAGAGGGTGTCAAGTGGTCTGCGCAATGGACGCCCACAGCCGTTAATCTCGGTTTTCTAGACCGGGGCCGCTCTTTCCTTGAAATAGCTCAATTATCCTCACGAGGCTGAGTGGACCCCGTTCCAGACCCACTACTTCTCAGAAAATCTGGTAGTGCTAGGAATCTACCCTGGGACCTCTGGATCTGTAGGCAGGAACTCTGACCACTAGACCACAGAGGCGGTCGGATTAAGCGAAGAGATGCCAAACACTAGACATATATTTAAAAAAGGAATGCTATAGAATAGAGCTATACTCCATACAAGCCAAATGTCCATTCAGCCCAACTCATTTCTACTAAACAATGTTATCATAGAAAAATTATAAGGACGAAACACATTTCACATGGAGACATAACCCCAACTAAATTATTAATTTTCCTGTTATATGAATTAGTTTGTGTCCAAGTCACTTTCTTTCCCCATTCTTCCCTCCATAAGAAAAACACTAGCTCTGCAATGAGAATGAATATGTTACCTTCACATTATTTTACAGTAACCATGGTAACAAAAAGTGCTAAAACCTTCTTGGACAATCAGTTACGTCAATGCTGCATTAAAAATCAATTCCTTCGATATCTCATCTATCTCCATCATCAGAACCTGATAATACAGACAGGGTAGATCTCTGAAATATTGGTTTTTAAATGAATGGTAACAAGGTTGATTGCTGGAAAAGATGTTAGTATATTTATTTATTGTGAAAGCTTCGAATGTTAAACAACAAATCGTGTTTGCACTATGAAAATTGTCTTCTTGGTTGAATACTGTATAGTTCAGATAGACCTGTACATTTTGGAGGGGCATACCACCTCCACCTGCAGCGTCAAAGAGAAAGCCAAGCAGGAAACTAGTAAAAGCAGCAGTAAACTGAGATGAAAGTGTCGCCTGCCTCGGCTAATTTCTCTCTTGGATTACTCAGATCCAACTTACTGAGGTCTCTTGCTGATTTGAGGCAGAAAGACACATTCAATATCCTAACAAAGGTACAAAGAAGGAATCCACATTCTTCAGTACACTAAAAGTGGTACAGAGTAGGCCTACTGAGTACTATGAGACTCAAAGTTGATACCTACACATAAAGAGAACATCACTCATAGTACTGGCTTGAAGCGTGTTCATAAGATAGAAGTATAAAGAAATACGGGAATTTTGACAGACTGTTGTCTATTTAAATAATTACTAAATGATTATTGACTTTCTTTTGGCAATATCAGTAATTCTGTTTTAATTTAAAACAACCTTTCAAAGGCTGGGCTCTGTCTGTGCCCTCTTGTAAAAAGCCTACTCAGTTGGGCCCCATAGATAGAATTAGTTCCTGTCTCTTGACAGCAGAACCAACACAAGGTAGGATATACAAACCAAAAGCAGAACATAAACCATCTGTGGGAGTTGAGACAAAAATTTAAAGAGTCACATGTGGTCCATTTCAAGGGATATACCAGGGTCTGCAGTTACTTGCTCACGTATCCAAGTGCCACATGACAAAGGAAGGAGGCATGTTATGTATGTTGAATGGCAAGGTGTTAGTCATGCTATGTTCACACTGTATGTCATTTAATTACAGTTCAACTATTCATTAGTAATACATGTCAATGATTCAGAGAAACATAAGTTTTCACCCTTCAATGATGTCAGAAATACATAACATGATTAATGAAGTGGTAAACTTCAGCTCATGTTTTGAACAGTTGTTTTTCATTCTTTTGGTATGAATAAAAGAGGAAGCGGTAGGCTATCAATTCATATATGTGTTGTCTGACATTCATCTTCCAGTGGCATTTTATTACATTTGAATTCTTAGAAAAAGTTTTACACCTCACCAACTGGCACATTTTCCTTTTTTGATAAAAAAAAAGGTTCATGTTTATACAAAAGTGGTCTAGGCAATGCCCAGCCGGCCCTCCTGAGCACATTCCTATAAACAGTCCACAGGCTTTTGAATACCTCAATTCTGAATACCATGATGACATATATGAAGAACACTGGGAAAGGAAATGATCATTTGTCCTTTAGATTTGTTAGTTGGAGGACTGTTTGTGACGTATGCTAACACTAAAGGACACAATGCACCAGACTGATATTCATCAGACAAAGAACTGCCCTGTTTAACAGAAAGATATTTTATGACCAAGATTCCACCACTTAAGAAACCAAGACAGAGACAGTGTGCTGTTTGTCAGAAGCGCAACAAGAACACTGTGTACTGGTGTGGCATAGGACTCTGTGTGGAATGGTTTCCCAACTATCACACCATGCTCAATTTCTAAGATAATACGGTAAAGTTAAAGCTGTCCCTGTGCTTAACTAATTAAGCACTATGCCATGAAGGCATATTGGGTAGTGGATGTTTCATCCACTCCTCCATATGCCTTCATGGTATAATGCTTAATTAGTTATGCACAGGGACAAATTTACCTGTACTTTTAGTATGCTAAAAATAATTTTGAAGTAGTGTAGATCAATACTCCGATTCCATATACTTTTCCTGAATGCAGTGTTAAATTAGGGGGGGGGGGAAACAAAACAGTTTCCCTCCAATTATTACAGTTTAAGTGAAATCTTGCATTTTCGGGTTTTCATGATTAAATATCCTCCATCCCCAGGGTTGAGGTGGAATTAAATGTTCTGCAGCATTGAAGGGTTGAAACAGAGTAAGGGAGAATAATACATTTTTTTTTTGTTTTCTTGAATTATTATTAACAGTCTACAGGCAAAAAGACATTTTATGTGTTTTAACTTATTAAACTCTGCTTTCAATGAACATTTTGAATAACAAAATATAGATCTGTTAATATTATACATACTTTAACATTTTGGATCCAGCTTTCAAATATTTTATATTGAGCTGAATACTACTAAAGAAGAAAGAAAAAGTTGAACACTGAAGATTTTAATTGTCCTACAAGGCAGAAAGATTTTAACTATTAAATTAGTTACACTTGATGAAGTTCTATTTTTTGTGTGTTAAGATGATGTAACAGTCAAGATGTCTTTTATAAAGATTTTAATTATCTTGCTTCTCTGCCTTTACTCCGACTAGCATGCATCCTCCAAACACTGGGGCACTGTCCATGGGTACAATGTGAGATTACATAGGCTAGATTAGGAGGCAATATGACAGGCTATTTGAAACTATTAAACTAGCTAGCAAATTTTTGGAATCTAAGACAGCTTAGCATATTTGAAATTTTGTTATGGCAAGTTCCTCTTGTAACCCTAATATAATTTTGAAAATGTGTTGATAGTTAATGTATTGACCAAGAATGAAGTGGACTTTGCTTCTTCAAAATTGTGGTGATGAAAGAGGTAAATGCGCTCCTAATTCCCATACTTTCATTTAAACCTGTAGGAGCAAGGCCACGCCAGCCAATGTCCACTTTGCAGGCTTGTCTTTGGATTTGAGGTTGAATGTCCACACATAAGTAGGGCCCCGTGTACGTGTTTTATACACAGGGCATTCATACATGTTGCGCATGTCTTGTTTATCCTGGGTGATGGCCTGCAAGACATATGGAGAAGAGACAAGGAATTCAGCACATATTATTTACAATGTTAGTTAGTTACTTATTTTAGTGGGTGGGTTTCCCCATACACTGCGACCAGTTTGATCTATTGTGCTTCCCTCTATGATATTCTACCAGTCTCTTTACCCTACTGATAAATGGTGCGTACCATCAGTCCCGCTGAGCAAGCGAGTTCGGTCACTTGCTTAGCGGTGTCTATAATGCTTCCCCCATCTATCAGAGGCCTTAGAGGCTATTGTTGGGCGGGAAACGTCCTGGAATTTGGCTCAGTGATCCCCTTTGGGGATATGAGGTTCTTTTACGTGCCGTAAAGTTACGACACGGGACACACAGCTTAAAGTCCCTCCCGGAGGACTTGTTCCCTGAATTTTTCCGCCCTTAAAAATTCGACGACCTCCGCCGGGTATTTGAACCCGCGTACCACGAGTCATGAGGTGGGTACGTTACCTCTAGACTACGGAGGCCGCTTTATTTACAATGTTAATAAGTGGGTTAATGAATTTATCTGTTGTGGAGAAAATTCGAGTATTTAACATGGATCAGGAATTCATTGTAATATAAGTGCCACACACAACATGGGAAAATAGTAATACTATATTAGGTTACAATGACTTTAAAGGGGCTTTTTAAGTTTTGATTTCAGCTGATTCTGTGACATTAACCAGGGCACTGAATTTATTTAAACCCATTAATCAATAAATACAATATTTGAATCAAATATCAGAGGATGCAGGAGGCAAATACGAGAAAGGGTTTAACAGATAGTTGTCCATTTTATTGATGAATATTTCTTCTTAGTCTCCATCCTTCCACTCATCTATATGTCCAACTATCTAAGGGTGTTGGACGTTTAGCTGGCCAGATGTGGATCACCCACCCATATACTCATACAAATGGTCAAAATTTAGCATAACTCTGATACAGTATTTATTTTCAGTTGTTTAGCATCAACCATTCAACAATATCAAGATTTAAAATTCAACACTGCACCACATGTTTTGGCCTACTTGGCCATCATCAGGTACACTGAAATTCAGGGGAACTGCTAGCCCTATGTGCTACTGTGATCAGTTTTTTAATTGAGGTCAGTGTAGTTCCTCCTTCTATGCCACATGTATTGCCTGTTGCCCATCAAGTGTGCAGTGTGAAAGAAAATTACATCACAGTATAAAAATTATAATTTAAATATTATTACTCTAAAATTCAATTAAAAAATTTCATTTTGAAGATTCTGTAGATTACAAATGCCACTATCAAGCCAAACAAAAAAGGAAATCTGTCAAGACAAAAATGAGAACCATTCTTCACTCTGAAAACTGCAAATTCATGGCATATTAGTTTCTTAAGCTTCATTTTTCTGATACATGAAGTGTGATTTTTGTTTCTAAATACGTGAAATTAAGTACTATGTTGACCTCATATCCTCATTTAATATTTATTTATTATCATCCTTATTTATTTGTGGTTTAGTTTTTTAGCTTCACATATAATAATCTTAGTAGGAAATCCATAAAAGGGTTTTGAGTGCAAAAGACTTGTGCAGCCAAATTAAACTGGGAACCACTGTTTTAATACATACTTCAGCTTATAAAAATAGGAATATAATGTAATCTTTTGTTATTGCAGTATCTAAGAAGTAACTAAGAATATAAAATAAGCCACATCAAAGTCATATAGCCAGCTAATCACATGACTGTAATTATATCAGGTACCAGTTAAGTGACAAGAAGAAGTAAATTTTTCAGTTCAGTAATTTATAAGTAAGTGTGCAGTGAAAGCGGCCTCCGTAGTCTAGAGGTAACGTTCCCACCTCATGACTCGTAGTACGTGGGTTCAAATGCCCGGCGGAGGTTGTTGAATTTTTAAGGGCAGAAAAATTCAGGGAACAAGTCCTCCGGGAGGGACTTTAAGCCGTGGGTCCCGTGTCGTAGCTTTACGGCACATAAAAGAACCTCATATCTCCAAAGGAGGTCACTGAGCCAAATTACGGACGTTTCCCGCCCAACAGCAGTCTCTAATACCTCTGGTAGATGGGGGAAGTATTATAGATACCTCTCAGCTAGTAGAGCCTGTCTCGCTGGCTGGGCGGGACTGATGGTAAGCACCAGTACCGGTAGGATATAGAGACTGGTAGAATATCATAGAGGGAAGCACAATTGACCAATACAGGTCTCAGTGCATGGGGAAACCCACCCTCTCCAATAACTAACTAACTAAGTGTGCAGTGAAACATGACAACACAGAAAATGCACTGCATTACCAAACTACCCTTTGATATTGTCACTTACCCTAATGTTGACAACAGGCATGGTAGGAAAGAGCTCCTTTAGTCTGGATTCCATAATGATGCCTTGTTGAATGTCCCACCTAGCTCCTTCCATAAAAAGACCATGAACATAGGCACCTTCACGTGGTGCTGATCTGGAATGGAGGATAAACACAAAAGAGTGTTGCATGTATCATGCTTGATACTACGCTACATGTTTACTGCATACACACAGATCGTATAAAGAATGTATAACACATATAAGGAAGTTCTGGGAAGAACTGTTCACCTTCTTTCCACTTATACAACACAGACTGCATAGAAAATAACATGTCAAACAATTTTTCTATTGAAGAAAGTTGTCTTCTGGGTTTAGGCACCGTGTATTCTTCGTTTTGGCCGACGTTTCGGAGGAATGTAGCGCCTCCATCTTCAGAGCAGTTGAATAGCTGTGGAGAGCAGTGCTATTCAACTGCTCTGAAGATGGAGGCGCTACATTCCTCCGAAACGTCGGCCAAAACGAAGAATACACGGTGCCTAAACCCAGAAGACAACTTTCTTCANCCACCCACCCACACATGCCCATACACACACGTATGCACGCAAACACACATACAGAGTAAGGAGTTCGCACAAGCCTACTCTAGAAAAGTAGGCTAAAACTGAGTCAGTTATATGAAATTTGAGGTTCTTGACAGTGACCATGTGAAGGTAATGCTGCACTATATTGTAGATAAGTACCAATGTTTTGCAAGAATCTACAGCTTCCATCTTCGGTATACAAAAAACAGTCGATTCCTTTGAAATATTAGTGCCCATTTGCCGGATGACATGGTGTCACATCCAAGGAGATGTAATATTGATGAGTGAATAAGTTTTGTAGTAAGTCTGGAGATACCTGCATTAAAACTCAGACCAAGCTTTCTCCATGAATTTGCACCACTTGTTTATATGCTATTCAAGAATCATCTCTGATTCAGCAGTATGTTTCCCTCTCTTAAATTAGACAGAGGATGTAAACAGAAGCAAGATACGCAAGAGTGATGTACATATATGGTCATACAGGCCCAGTTACTCTCTCCAAAATCTATACAACTGAGAACTCAAGTGAAAGCATACCAGCAAAGAAAATAAGGAATATGGAAGAACACAAATATATTTAATAATCAAACAAAATTAGAAAGTATTAGGCACACTAGAAGATTATGCCTGCAAATGAATACATAATGTAAGAACAAGAAATGGTATTTATGTATTTTAAGCACTGAAAGCATCATAGCATTTAAGCATTATGGACAAAAGACCATCTAGACTTAATAAGCAAACAGGAGTTATACTTAATATTCATTATGTAAGGTCTTTTTATTGCTAGTGGGGTGGGACTAAGTCCCCTGTACTGCGGCCACTTCTGGCCTATTGTTCCAGTCCCAGATGATAGGTGAGGGTGATTGTGGAGCAATTGGTGGAATGAAGATTGGCAGGGGAAACCGAAGTACTCGGAGAAAACCCGTCCCAGCGCCACTTTGTCCACCACAAATCCCACTTGACCAGACCCAGGATCGAACCTGGGCCACTGCATTGGGAAGCCAGATTATGTACGGTTACTAAATAGTGAATACAGGCTGCACAATCAGCTCACAAGAATCACATAAGAGTGGGGCCCTGCTAAGTGCAGCCCTATTCTGATCAAGCCAGTGGCGGAACTAGTAACAAGGAACCAACTGATAAAATCATCTGATATAAAATGGAAGTCTTCCTAGCATAACATAAAACTCAGAATAGACCTTACTTATATTACTGATGAGTATAGTTAAGAAGATTAAATTAATCTTCCACAAGAGTTCACTCTACTCAGCGACATGTAAATTTCTGGGTACAATATACATGCATACTGACTCCCACCCGCACCTAGCTGGGGGGAGGGATGCAGTACTAATACCTCGTTGCAAGTTACAGTGGAAAATTACCTTACCAGTAGCATAACAATGGCATGCAACAAGGGCCTACTTGTCTCCCAGCATTGTCCAAAATTGAATTTCAAAATCAACACTGCTGAACATGGCAGTCACCAACCAGACGGAAGAGGAGTTTGCAGGCAGTCACATTGGAAGTCAAAGGCAGAGACGATGAAGACAGAGCGGCTCCAGATCATTTTGCCATCCCAGGCAGACTGGATAGATGGGACTGGTAAAATGGGGCCATGAGAGCGATGTCTTAAGATTCAGGAGAAAATGAAGATGATGTCAGAGAGGTCACAGAGAATAAGAATGAGATGCGAGTTAGACGAGCCAACCAGCAGCTCTATATGGTTAAAAACAACATGAAACTGCGCTGGTCAGGACACTTAATTCAATCAACTTACGAGAAGTCTTCTTTATGCTTCTTGGTTACATCACACTGGAGGCACATTTTGTCCAGAGGCAGCTCATTCTTGCGGGCTGTGGACTGCATAATAGCAGTCAGGAAGGACTGCGGGTTAAAGAAACCTGATAACCAAACAGATGATGGTAGCTGAAAGGAAACAGAAAAGTCCAGATATTTGGGATTCATACTTAACAAACGAAAATTATATTAATGAGGAAAGTAAGAGCAGACTGGATATGGGAAATGCTTGCAACCATTTAGTTCAGAAACTTCTCTCTTCACATCCTTTATCTAAAAAACTTAAAAATCAGAACATATGAAACCTATAATTTTAATGTTGTTTTGTATATATCTGAAACTTTGCCTCACACCCTAAGTGAAGACCATAGGTTGAAGGTGTCTGAGAAAGTGTTGAAGAAAATATTTGGATTTCTTACATATTTTTGGTGGCACAGTCTTCTAGTACAAAGCACCAAAGCATGCAGTGGTATTCAGGATGCAGTGAATTTGTGTTTAAAATTGGTGATATAAATTTTCAATAGGTCTACTATTTAGAACAGTATCTTATTCCTCATGATGGTTATCAATTATTATTGTGAATCACACACTGTATATTCAGAACATGAACAACAGAATAACAAATTCCATATAAAATTCTAACTACTCCTGCAACCTTATGTTTTTGGAGTCACTTCCGGTTAACTCCAGTACATGGACAATGGTGTCTTAATTGCACAATGTGACATTTGAGGTTCTCATGATGGTGACTATGAAGAATACTGTCTTTTGGAATGTGACAATGTACTGCCTGGAAGCTCAATACCAAAGCGTCAGAGGAACTTTCAACCCTTCCTTCCTGATGATGGAGAACAGCTTCCTCTGAACCAGGCTGGATGGTTTTGCATGCAGAAGACATAACCTTCGTTCCCTAAAGTTGTGTGATCATCTATCAGTAATTTATAATTTTAGTTATCTGTTGCAGATCATTAGTGTATGAACACAGCCAGAAAATAAGCGATACGTAACCTGTCTTATGTCACACTATTAGAATTATGAAATAGCAAAATTATGATTAATAACTAACCACAAAATCTGTAGACCAGGTCTCCAGTTCTCTTAGTCTTAGGAGGAGGTCAGCAAACCAGGCACTGAGACCCTGGAGAGATGGGTATGCTCGTTGGGTCCATATGCGAGGTACTTGGTCAAGGAAGAGAGCATTCTGCAGTTCCTCCATGTCACCAGTAATCGTCAGTTCCCCCTGACAGAGACACAATATTACAAAGGCTTTGGTTTCTACAAAGTATTCAGTCTGTCTTTATTTTGCACCTGTATAACAGAGAACTTTTCTAAGACTGTCTTGGTAAACCACCAGACATCCATGAAAATCAAAAATGCTGTGAACACTGTGGAGAACAAAGTGAGGCAGTTACTTTTAAACTGTATATTTTATTCCACAGAAGTATGGCTTGTTGTCACCTATGGAAAACTTTATGGAATATGAGAATTGGACATGGAAAGTGTTATTACTTCAAAATTATCACAGTGAATACAGAATGAATTTGTATGTAGGTAAATATTGTAAGAGAGAAACGATGTGCTCATTTATAAATATTCTGGCCTGTGAACAGTAATTCACTGTGATATTTAAGGTTCTCATGGTATTGACCAAGAAAACTACTGTCTTCTGGGTTTTGATGTCACATAGTTTGACGATTTATCCTAGAGAAGGAGGCAGCATTTTATTCCAAATCATTGGCACTTATTTTTCAAAATGAAAAAATAACATCAAAGACAGCAGCCTTAATAAATCTATGAATCTGACCACAAATTCATGGTAACTGCCTTTTATTGGTGTATCATATACCTTCTGTAAAAGTAAGTAAAGGTATCTCTGTAACAGACTGTGGAGGCCCATAGGGTTGTGAGATGTTGAGGTTCCCACATTTTCTAGATAATCGGCTCATAGATGGCGGCAAGGTTGTCGGCCTTATGTGCCAGCAGCCCTTTACCCCCCAAGAATATTCCTGGTACTCATTTCTGTTAGAGGCTGAGTCGACCCCAGGGCTATAGTGCAGCTGAAAGGATCGGGTCAATTGAAAAACTCCAGTGACCTCATCGGGACTTGAACCTGCAACCTTCTGGCTTGTAGCATAGTGCCTCAACCAACTACGCTTGGTATACATGCAAAATAGACCACATTATATTAGATTTCTCCCACATTAGTAACAGCAGGAGGTAATCAATCAGCCACTTTACCTCACCCTTCAGTATTGGTAAATATTTCTACAGAATTTCTGGTATCTGTTCAGTGCGAGCTTCAGAAAAGTTACACCTGTAGTTAAAGGCAAAACTGAGTTGGGATTTCTCTAAAACAAGCTCAAAGTGTTTATATGCAGTGATATATTACACATAACCTACTTTGAGTCCAAGATCCAGTTCCTTCAGTGAGCGCTTCATCTCTCCTGTCAAGTAGTTCATACGCTCACACTCTTGGAAAGCAACAATGACATAAGGTGTTCGCTCCTCTACCTTGTTCATTATCTCCAACATGTTGAAATCATCAGGTAGCTTCTCTAATATTTCATCAACAATTTGTTTTACCTAGTATGGAAAGAAAATTATCTGAAACACATGTTAAGCTCTTCTGTATGAATGTATTCCATAGTATATATTGCTGTGCAAAAGCTATGCTGGGATGTATACTATTGTATTAACGTGAGTCTGAAACATACTATAATTATACCTTCATACCTTCTCTTCTGGAGTGACAGTGGCTCCACCTGAAGCTCCAGCATCACGTGGCTGCATCTCGAACACTGTCCGAAACAGGTTCTCAGAGGTGGTGGTGAGAAAACCAATTTCTGCATTTGGATGCAATCCATACAAGTATGGTGATTCTGGAGGCATCATCTCATCTGGGAAATGCATGACAGCTTCATAAATCATGTCCCTACGAGTTAATCACTAACACTGTTGCTTTAATCTTTTGAGTACCTGGCTTATGTTTGAGAGAAATTTTATTGGCACCCAGTGTAAAGTATATAAATCTCTTCCAGAAACAGAGTATTATGAAAATGTAACCAATTATGTCTTCATTTTTACAACCATCTACAAGAATTATGGATGAAAAAGATTAATATTTTATTCTACAAAGTGTATTATTTTAAACTGATACCAATGTACTATTATTAAATATGGACAATTACAAGGAGGAACAAAAGCAAAATCTAAGCACCTGGTATGAAATTGTTGAGGAGTATGTGGGGGGGGGGCATGACAAGTTGGAGAAGTGATTAAAATGGTTTCTTAATGGAAAAAAGTGAACAGAACAAGGATACTGAGAAAGGCATTAGAAATAAATTTTAAGGAAAGGGACCTACTGGATGACCCAAAATAAGCTATATACTGGAAAGGAAAGAGATGGCAAGGAACAAAAATGGCCATGGGAGAAAGAAGTCTACCAACTTGCATACAACAAAGGCAATGAAGAAGACAAGTGTACCAGGAAAACAGAATTTCATGCTGATGTACTGTGCAGCATTTTATTTCTTACATATATTTTTTGAACAAACTTAGTAAACATACCTATGTACGCATGGTATCCTATGTAATCAGTGTTTGGAGGTGCTGGGAAACCAGGAGCCAACGTCAGTTCCCCATCAACCTGCGAGTGTATAAAATGATGTAGCATAATTTTTCTCTCAAGAATCTGTTTTACTTTCTGAAGTGTGAAAGCCTCGTGTACTTAACAGAGATTACACACAAGTGTGTAACTTATTTGAAGTGAATGTAGAAGCAGGTCAAAATTTTTTCAAGAAACAAAATTGAAAAAGAATACTTTAATGTAAGGTAAAGCTATCCTTGTAACAGGCCATGAAGGCCCACATTGGGGTGAGATGTTGAGGCTCCCACATATTCTAGACAATTGGCTCATAGATGGTAGTGAGGTTCTCAGCCTTAGGAGCTGCCCGCCCTTTACCCCCAGGAAGATATCTGGTATTCATTTCTGTTAGAGGTTGAGTCGACCCCACGACCACAGTGTGACTGGAAGGATCAGGACAAATGAAAAGAATCCAAGGACCTCATCGGGAATCGAACCAGTGACCTTCCGGCTTGTAGCATAGTGCCTCAACCAACTATGTTACCGCATTTATCACAACAACAAAAATTTCAAATAGGATTTGTATATATCGTTGTGTACGCCAAATACCAGATCCATCGAACAGTTTCAGAGATGAAGCATCAGACAAATGGACATATACATTTTCCCTATGATATGTCAATTTCTTTATTCACTGTGAAAGAATACAAAAATTAGTTCTGACCTCTGGGACTAGGTGATTAATCCAATTTTGAGATTTTAAGTTCTCATGGTGATGAATGTTAAGATTATGTTCTTCTAGGATATAATACTCTGTTGTTCAGTAGATAGGTACTAATGCTTTTGAGAACTGATCTATAAATTTTCCATCGCATCCCAAACACCGTTATCTTTATCTAATTTTGATACTGTGAATGTGCATTACTGAATTATATGAAATGTAAGAACAGGCCCTGAATGCTTACATTATGCCATATGTTCCCAAGGGCTTGGAGAGATTTAGCTACAGCATAAGAACATTTGCAGTAATCTGGTCTATTTATTGTAGCTACATGTAACAGGCTCCAGACAATTGTTTATGCACAAAGTTCATTCTTTGAACTATGGATAATGATCTAGTTTCAAGTTACCAGTTCAGGTTGCATGAGTTCCTCCAGATATGAGATGCAGAGCCGTCGGTCCCAGTCATCAGTAATGTGGCCACCGTACATAATTTCACCAAACAAATACCTCAGGTCTTCCCATGGAACCTTGGAATTTGCCTCCAGATAGTTGTACAGAACACTGACACTGATGTTCAGGTCACCTGTGCATGTTTTGGAGATGACATATTAACATATAACACAACACTATTTTTCCCTTGGACTTCTGCTTGAAACGGTTACGGAATAAGATTTTCAAGAAGTTTTGTTCCCCATATATCTCAGCAACTTTAATACATGACGATGCTTAAACTTTCACTAAATTCCATGATGTTCATGTATGACATATTAGCTCTTATGATGTAACTGGCAAGAGAAAAAAACAAAACTGGATAGTAGAGAAAAAGGGAGCCTTAATTCTTACCTATCCAGACGCTCAAACATTCTGATCTATGACAGTATCAGAACAAAGTGTGAACAAAATACAGCCGGAGACAGGGAAACCCCACAATTTAATAGTATTGAGTATGGTTTTTCCCTCTTTAGGTGTTCAACTTCAATGATCTCAAGTCAATCGTCTCTGTGTTCAATTTCCTTCATTTAAGGTTTCCCTCAGTTTGATATCCAAATCCACTGCTCTCCATATAAACATTAAATGGAAGTCTCACTCTGTAAGAGGCTACCTCAATATCAAAGGACGATGTTCATGAAAGATGAAACTGATGATGAAATATCCTGACAGACCTATTTTCATTTTCTTACACACTCACACTATCTTTTAATACAACATAATTTGGAAGTCAGTCAGTCAGCAAAGTTACCAGTTATGGGCTGGATGACAGGTTCAATTCTTGGCAAGGCTCCACTTGGCTTCCTATCCAAGGGATGCTGAGGATAAAATGCCTGAAGAATGAAGCTGACCACTTTGTTCAATTTTGTTAGATATATAAAGCTCTGTCTTGATTCCTGCTCCCTACACGTCTCCACAGTATGGTGGTTCAGCATATACCTTCTTCAACAGAGAACAATGATGACACTAACCTACATTAAATGGGTATATCTTATTCCATCCTTGAGGTCCAAACTTTCTGCGCTCTGCCACAACTGCATGGAAATAACAGAGAGAGAACAGGATAGCTTTGAATTCTGCCTCCTTGCTGCACATTTCAAGGGCTTCTTGGTTGAAGTTATCCAGAGCTTTATGAAGGTTTGCCTGCATACCTGTTGGTGGCTCATTGGTTATCTTAATTGAAGATTCTAAGATTCCCTGCAAATAAGACATACATCTCTTTGGGAATGAATTAAAAAATGATAGTCAAATGACAGAAACATGACAGTAAAAGCATTTTTCTTGTAAAACACTGTGTTCTCCTCATTATCAGTATTTTTATTATTAAAATTATTATTTCATGGAATGTGATTCCATGTAGTTTAATCAATATGTTCTCAATATCTCACTTGGGTGACAAGAGGCATGCTTCTCAAACAGGATTTATGGAAGGTGAATAAATGAAATAATACCCCCACTAGGCAGTGCATAACAGAGGTGTGCCTATAACAGAAAGAAAAGCCATATACCTGTGGAATTATATGGGCTGCAGGAGTGGCTGCAGGTTCTGCGCTCATAAACACACGATAGTCTGGATGGGAACCCTGACTGTAATGCTCCAACTTCTTCTCCAGTGCTGGCAACCACTTCTTGACCAAATGAATATTCTGTGAATATTCGAATGCTCTGCATGAAGACAGGCTCATACTGCTGCTACAGATGTATTATAAATATGTCTGACTGTAGGATTTTAAATCACTAAGTACAGATACAGCACAAGAATCCTATTCTGAGATACCTTCCCAAAATTATTTGAGAGAATGAAGAAACTCATGAAACTTCACAATTTATACTCTCTTTCTAGTACTACCAAGGTTATGAACAGACTAGATAAATAATTTTGGCAGTAAAACAAGAAACATATAGAATTTTGGTGGGAATACCGCATGGAAAATGCTCAAAAGGTTAACAGAGACTCAGTAACATAATATTATGTGAATATTATGGAAATAGTTTATGCTAACATGGATCATATTTAATTAATTCAGATATTTTTCAGTGGTGGGTTCTTGTTTTAACAGTGTAAAATCTTTTGATTCTAAAATAACAGATCTGGCTAATTATAACTTACACTGGCTATGTAAATGTTATCTGGTACAAATTTAATCTCAATATTATGCAACCCCTTTCTCCTTATTTCCAGATTGGTATAGCATGCCTCAATGTTATAGACAGGATGTGTTCTTGAATACTCGATCAAGGAATTCCACAATGCAAAACTTGTTTTTCTATTTATTCCATTATAAGCGGAGAGACACTCCTATGGAAATTACTTACTGTCAAGACTTGAATTAAAACACACTTCTTCAAGATTCACACTGAATATAATTCCCATCATGCTCCATTGGGTGTAGCATTTGCATTTCACTCCATGGCCTCTTTCCCCACAGCATACGAGAAGTATGCTGCAATTTGGAATAAGATGGGAACAGCGACCATGCTACCATCCACATCCTTACATCAGTGACATATGGACGCATGCTAACCAATGGGCAGCTACATGTACTGCTATGACTCCGACTCATGCATATATAACATAAATGTTTTGACAAATAATATCTTAAGAAAATTAGTTTTGGTTGAATTTGCTGCTGTTTGACATTTCCAAAAATCAGTACACATTCCACATTTCCATCAGAGCAAACTTATGGTCCAATATGATGAATTTTATTGTTTCTTACAATTTCCATAACCTGAATGTCCATAACATGGGGGTGCGCTGTACCTACATTCCTCAGCCATACACAGAGTTCAGTATCACCTGCAGCACCACCCAGTGTCCCTGTCCAGCTGCTGTGTCCATAGCTTGTTCTGCCACCACCTCCTGCCCTTGTCCTAGCGACACATTATGGAAGTTGCCGTTACCCAGAGTGACGCCCAGCTTCTTCCCTAAGTCTTCCACATCCTATAAGACAGAAATCTTAGTTATCTCATTTACTCACATAATATGCCTCCTTTTTACTGCTGCTTTTAATGGCAAAAAATATTAGGGGGGGATATGTTGATTCATTCCTAAGTGTCTTGATGCTGTGTAACAAAAATGATCAAACTTCTGGGACAGCTATTTCTGTATTACGCAAAAGCCCTTTTACTTCCTTACTCCATAGCAGTACAGTTCTCTAAGAACTGCAGACTCTTTTATGAAAGATTTTTAATTATTATTTGCCTTTTTGTCTACATTTCTTCAATTTCAGCACTCATAAATCATTCTATACATCCTCCAGTAATCCATATCTGGGCCTTTCCACTTTTTGGCTACCTCCTGGTTTACCTTCAAAATGTTTAGTCTTCCATTATGTTCTTACTGTAAAGATTCACTATTGTGAATACAATGTATGATACTTTGTCTGTGTCGGTGTGTTCACGTCTCCCTTCCTTTGTGGCTCTCTCTCACCTAACTTAATTTACATGCATTTATCATTCCAAGGTTTCCTTTCGAATACAGGTACCATCATTTACCTTCAGGGGGTTCACACCAGGAGACAGGATGAAAAAGATGGGTGTAGATGGGCTTGCTTCCTCAAATGACTTAGAAAACTCTACTGTCCGGGCTTCAACATACTTAGCTCCGAGTTTCTCTTCTATGAATGCTCTGAAGTAGAAATTACAAGAAATATAAAATGTACAAATATGAAGTATTTAATTTAGGATTACAGAATTCACATAAACATTATGATTAATTAAGTCCTATTTTCTTTTAGTTTTGAATAATTAAAGGATACAGCCCCTTTTACATAACGTAACAGTAGTCATAAATAATGAAATTATACTCCATCCTATTTCCCTATGTTATTTACAGAGCTATTATCAGTAGAGAAAAAGTATCTCTTATACCTTATTTATATACATATTCCCCATGTATCTCTAACTTAAGTCACTCATGCTTTTAAGGGTACTAAACTTAGTTTACAGTTTAAAGCATTTCTCACATTTAATCCTCACTCTTGAAACTGCAGTCTGCAGTTTCACTGCATCTTAACGTAATGTGTTAGCATCCTGTGACTCACTATACAGAAGACACATGTATTTTCTGCCTCCTTTTAGAAAATCCATAAATTTCCACATTTCCTGTCTCCACATAAAGGTAAAAGTAAGTGAAGTTGTCCTTGTGCTTAGGTAATTAAGCATCATGCCATGAAGACGTATGGGGGACTGGAGGCATATCTTTACCATTCTTGACTTCAGCACCAGATGGATATGAATGGTCAGCTTCACGCCCTGACCGCTTTACCCCCGAGGAAAGGACCTCTGGGCTGTACAACTTACTATACTAAATTCTTTATAAATTAAAAGGCAAATTCCTTTTACTCCTGAGCCTCTGAAGATGGATCCAAAGGGCCGAAACATGTAAAGTCACATAAATTATTGGATTATTAAAACTTGGTCACACTGGACGGCTTGTCATTCCAAGATTAATAGAAGTGTAATGGCAAAAATGTCTCATGTTAAACAAATATAAATGACTTCAATTTATATATTACCATACCAAATGTTGAATTAGAGAAAGTGAAAAACTTACGCAATTGCATAATTCATTCTGTCAGGTCGCAATGCACGCATCATGCACAGTCTTTGGAGTGGTGTCTTGTTCTTCCATTCCTGAGGAAACTTTTCTCGTTCTGGACAGTCTGACTTAATAAGCTTCTTCCATCGCTTTGGTGACATCTCAATATCCCTGTCTAGGTTTCTGCAACCATCCTAGTCTTCATTACATATAACACCAGCAAACACATTACAATATTTAGAACACCATGGACATAAATATAATTCATCTGAAGCAAATCAAAAGATACCTGAAAAAATCTATTACCTGATGTTGAACAAAATAATAAATACTTTTATATAATTCTTCAATCATTATACAAGTATCTTTATTAAGGAGATTATAAATCACTTCCCCACCTTATTACTACCAACACAGTAACAATAAAAATTAATTTCTAAATCTCATGCAGTGTACACCTAACTCCTCCTCTTGCACTATAAACAAGTTTCTAACTTTCACTGTGTTTAATAATGAGCCCCACACAGGACAACGAAAGGCCATTTAATGGATTTTGACATGAAATCTGATGAGCAAAATTATTTAAAAAAAATCTTTGCATTAGTGCAAATTTCATATTCTGTCTCTGTAAATTTCAAACTGATTTCTGAGATGAGAGTAATGGTTATACTATTTTCAAATGTAACAAATTATTCACATATCACAATCACAATCCCAGGTCAAGTCATGTGGGATTTTTAGTGGAAACTGGCACTGGGGCAGGTTTCCACCTAGTACTTTTGTTTCTAAGATCTAAAAGTTGGTGATAATGGTACATTAGCACAAATATTATGTTTTTGAACATTACCCATCTTCTTGTCTTTATCTAAAAACCGTCCTGTTTATTTTTCAAAACACAACGCTTTGGAGATTGCTTTCTGTCTCCGTCCTCAGGTACAAAAAACCTACTCAGTTGGGCCCAATCAATAGAGCTAGTCCCTATCTCCTGAACAGGATGGTTTTTAGACAAAGGCAAGACAGAGGATAATGTTCAAAAACATAATATTTGTACTTCTGTTTCCCTTGCCAATTCTTATTCCATATAATGCTCCATACTCATCTATCATCCAGGGTTGGTACAATAGGCCAATTAGTGGCCAATGTACCAAGTGGATTAAGTCTCAGCGCACCCCATGAAACTTAAAAAAAGTTGAGCGTAAAACCATAAGCTAAAATATAACATAGTTTCTGTGTACTGTACCTGAATTCATCTTTTGCAGATAGACTGCAAATACCACCCCAGCTGCTGTTAGATAAAAAGTCAACAGGGCTGACAACATGCGGCTGGAGTGGAAACCTCAAAAGGAAATCCAGATCAGATGACATGATCTCCTCATTCATAAGCAAAATCTGTAGAAAATGTCAGTTGTAATGGATCAGAGTCAATATAACAATCATAAATTTGATAAAATTCTAGTTTTATATATGTATAAAACTAGGCAAAATATGCCATAAGATAACATGATTTAATTTCTTGACTTATTTTTGAATTGAATTTTGAATTGAATTTATTTACATTCTATAAATCCTAAGCAGGTTAGTACCTTTGGATACAGAACAAGTCAAAAGGTTACATACATAAGTACAGGCAATTTTAGCTTAAACATTAATATAACTTAATTTTACATCATTCTCTATTTACATTGAAGTATTCATCTAAAGAGTAGAAGGAATGAGCATGTAGATAATTCTTTAACTCTGATTTAAACTTTTTAGTATCATTGCCCAAGTTTTTAATACTTTGTGGCAGATTGTTGAACACTTTTATGCCAGTAAAGTAGACTCCTTTTTGATATACTGATAAAGTTGATGAGGGTAGGTGGAAGTTATATTTTTGTCTAGTATTCATGTTATAGACATCAGAATTTAATTTGAATTTATCTTTGTTGTAAACAACAAATAAGAGAAGCGATAATATGTATTGCGATTGAAGAGGTAGAATTTTTAATTTCTTAAATAATTCTCTACATGAATCTCTACTTCTACATCCTGTAATGATTCTAATTATATTCTTTTGTATTTTAAAAATTATTACACTATGTGAAGAGTTCCCCCAAAATATTAATCCACAGTTCATAATTTCTATTTCTATTAAAACATTGCTTTTATAGCATAGATGAGTTCCTCTCCTATGTGGACAAGACTTAGTTCACATTAGGATCATATAATAATTTAAAAGTAAGAACAATTGAGCTTAGCTTAACACACACTAGGAGTGTATACTGCGTAACTCTCTTCTTGCAGGAAACAGGACGCCATGTGCTGGAGAAAACACAGCAGGAACTATGGGATATTTAGCCGAGGCGGTGGGAGTGGTGCTGCTAGAAACCAGTGTATCTGGGAGGTCTTGTGACCGGCCAATTCGATCAAGGTTTTCCGTGGTTTTCCTTGGTCCCAGAGCAAATGCTGAGTTGGTACCCAAATTCCACGTTGCACTGCATGCTTCACATGCAGCCCCCCCAATAGTAACATCATGAAACTTATTATACTCTAACTACACAAGAATGACATGTCTTATATCACGTATAATGATCCATGGACATGAAATAAATGAAATGAAATGAAATAGAATGAAAGTAGGCATGGTAAACCATTTTCAATGTTTCCTGTGACATAAAAGGCTTAATTGATCCATTGACGGCAGATTAAACATTTCTGAATACGTAATTGTATCGAGGATTATAACATGGTAGTTCCGCTGTATAGAGGTTGTTATTATCTTATTTTTATTTTATTTAATTTCATTTTACTTTATCTATTTAATGATGCTGCCAATATTTTGACTTTTTACTATAAAAATGGTAGTATGATTGTTAATAATGACTGGGAGAGATGAGGAAGAATATAGTCATGGCTTAATTTGTGATACTATCCTGATATTTGTTTGAAAGGACTGAGGAAAACCATAATGAACTTGTCAGGATCATCAGTGTCCTGACTGAGCTTTCGACTAGGCACCTCTCAAATGCAAGTCAGAGTTGCTACCACTTCAGTGGACTTACTCAGCTGCTGTTCTGTGCATATTCAGCTTCCTAATGGCATTGAATTATTGTTCATATGCCATGGTCATGATGTATTTATCTGAATTATAATGGGAAATTTAAGTTTGTCACCTATTTCATATTCCTTTGTGTGGAAAAGAAGACTTGCCTGGAAGGTCATCTGTGAAGAGAATATAAGTTTGTCTCGTTCAAACAATCCTCGAGACGTGTACATGAAAACAGAGTATGTGATGCAGTCTATAAGGTTAACAACTCTTGTTGATACATCTTCAGCAGGCACTGCCTTTTCAATTGCCTTTTGGAAAACCACACTAAATGCCTGAAATAATTCAAACACTGCAGCACTTGAAACTATCTATATCTGACAGCATGCGATACATCTCTACACCAGTAAGTTATCCACAATATGATCAAGTACAAAACAGGAGAAAATATTGTCATCATGAGTAAGAAAGAAAATTATATAATTCTGACCAATAAATAGTAAACAACAGGCTAATGAGTACTGTAACAATAAAACTATACATTACAGAAAAGGAGAAAAAGAAATTGATCTATTTCAATAATTTTATAACAACAGTGTATTTCAGAAAAAATATGTGCAGATGTAAAATAATCCTTCATAAAGTTAAATGAATAAAACGAAATAATGCAAAAAGTCATACCTAACCTAAAGAATATATGAAGAATTGAACACAAAAGCTTTAATTTCCATGTAACTACTTTTTTACCACATTACGAAAATATAAGTAATTTGTTTGACTGATTGATTAATGAATGATTCCTAATGACCATCAATCATGAAATAAATTAAACCAAAATTTAAAAATTAAATCTAAACTCTCTTACAATAATGTTTGGTAGTGGCATTTCCTCCACTCCAAATGCAATGGTTACACCATCATGGCTCAAATTTCCAAGGCCTTGTTCATGACAAAGGAGTGTATTATACTGTAATGGCAAGATTAGCATTGAAGCAGAAATGGCTTTCTACTGCAAATTCTCTATCTCAGAACTGTGCATCCAATTCTTCATACTACAAGAATTTAGATACTCTTCTGTCAGTAATTTTTTAAAACCTTTATTTTTTAAGTATTACACCTATTATAGTATTTCCATACTTTAATGAAATCGATTTGTATGTAAAAGCAGTACCTTAAGAGAGAATTGATAGATGGGGTTTATGGTGTTAAGATCGTTGAGGATGAAGTACAGCAGTGAGGCACGTGCAGCAGCAGGTCGATACAGCTCTCGAGCTTGGTCAATTTTGGTTGATGTAATCTTAGCTTCTGCTACTTTCTGTTCTGTTTCTGCTGCTGTACGTTTGGTAGTTTCCAAGTTTCCACCAGTGCTGTATCTCCTAGGATGTTTGCTCCTGCAGAGGAGAGTCTCGACAGCAGATCATCTTCCAGTGTCTTGAGCATGATTTTGAAATCATTCTGCTGCTTAGTAAGTTCTGCCTGTGATTAAATGAAAACCCAAAGGGATAAAGTCAGTTTTAGATAATTCAGTTCCTAAAATTAATGAAAACAAGAACATTTTTTTTTAAATTCCACATCACTGTTGCCTTGAAATGGGGGGGGACACTTTATCATTATTGTTGGGAGGAAATAAATTAATGATGCATACAGATCAATATAGTATCTTGAAACAGACACTGAATACCTGCCAAATCCTTGCTATCTCACAAATTTTATCATCTTTCCATGCCATTCAATTATAAATAATTTATGTAACTGATACTGTATCATTAAGTAATTAGGATTAACTATCTTTACCACATAATACCACAAATTACAAATAATTTATAGAACATGAAAGATCATAATCATTTTGAAACTCTTTAATCCAATTAAATTCTTTTATCACATATTTCTGTAATCTATTTTAATATTATTCTATTTATGCCTCCATCTGGCATTTCCAACAAAGATACAACACGCATTACTTGTTTCTCATATGTAATATGCAACATGCCATTTTCCTCCATTTAATCACCCAAACAATAATAGGTGATGAGTATAAATTCCACAGTTCCTTATTATGTAATGTCCTCCATTCTGCATCATTGCATTCATTATAAAAATACAGACAATCAGCCCTTTGTTGGCTATATCAGTTCCAGCTGTCTGAAACAGATCTATAACCAGCTTCAACATTTAAAACACACGAAACTCATAGTATTCATGTGCATCATGTGCATCATTAGGCAAGTATGATCATTGACACATTCAATGAACAGATCTTTCTAAGACAGTGCTCAGTATGTACCTTGAGTTCCTCTAAATCTGGTCGTTCTGCCTTCACCACTTCTGCTAATAGCTGATCCTCTAATCCATCTCGAGTCACAGTAAAATTTATTAGTGTGGTCTGGGCCTGCATTTCTGGTTTATAATGAGGATTTGCCAACTTTGTTTGCAAAATTAATTGGAAATTTGGATTGTACTCCACTTCTTTGTCTCCTATCTTAATGGCTCTGTAACGAAAACATGAACAGCAGCAATTTCTTTCTTTAACAGTTCCATAAAATAGAATAATTCCTGGTGTTGTGAAGTTACAAAACCTTTATAATAAATATATTTATAATCAATCATATTGGTTTTCATGAATTTTTACAACATGAATCCCTTATTCTCTTTAGTTCTGCTTAGCGTTTCATGTACTGTACAAAAGCATGGCTGTATTTTAATTATGAGTAATATGTGAAGACCTTCTTGATAAGTTCATGTGAAAAAACACTCTAATGGATGTTATTTTCATCGCCCGAAAAGCCAACTGTAGTTTCCATCAGCAAGGAGTTTCAAGTGGATTAAGTATCGGTGCTGCCACACCACAGCTGATGCACTTGTAATTAGTTCACTGGTTTTTATTAACTGTGTGAAACGACAAACAAAATAAACAGGAAAATACCACCATGAGGAGTGGGATTAAGAAGGTGTTTTTTGGCATGCTATCATCTATAATGTAATAATCATTTTCCTTATGTAAGCAAGCTTTATGCAAATAATGTATAAATCATAACATGCATATTTTATTTATCCCTTATAAGTTCAATTCAAGAAGTTTTTCTTACAGCAGAATACTTAGCAAGAAATACCCAAAACCTTGTTCAGCCCCTTATGTAATGCTTAAACAGATTAAAATGAAATGAAACTCACATAAGGTAATATTAACATAACAGAAGTGACATACAGCATAAAAAGAGTTCCAGTTCATCCAGTGATTCAAAAGATATGTGCAAAATTTCAGGGAGACCCACACAACCTATACATGATAGGTAGACTTCCTAAAATGGATTACTTTCTTGATTATGGTGTGCCATTTTTAAGCAAGCCTGAAGACAATGCTGCATTTTAGCTTTCAAAGTTTGGATAACGCATAATCTTAAATACATACCTGCCCTTCTTGATGAGATTGCGGCCAAGTAATGGGTCTAGCACAGGATCAACATTTTCCTCAATATTTTCCAGAAGAACAGTTGCACCACTAATGATAGACTGCTCAATAACATCCAGATAGCCACGCTGACCCAAGCGTATCACTTTCAGAGTATCAACATATTTCTGCTTTATCCACTTGACTCCTTGTAGCTGAAACATCATCAAAACACATAGTTGAATGTACTTGTATTTTGTAACATGTATTACTTTGATAGCAAGTAATGACATGTGTGTGCCACAGAGTGCTGAAACAATGTAGGCAAGAGAGAAACTAAGGCAGGAAGAAGTTTCAAGATATTTGTGCTTCTTCTGGTGTTGTTTGGGAAAGTATATCAGGGGGAATTCTAATCACAGAATTTATTGTAACACTGTAAAATGTGGTTTAATGTAGAAAAATGGCATTCTTAACAGCTGTTCCAAAACTGTGGCCAGTACAGTGATTTTATTGAAAAATTACTCATTTACGAACAAATTCTGATTTGTTAGCTATGGCACAGTGATGTTCTTTCATACTGACTATCTGCACAACTTTCCACCAGCCTATTCCATTTTCACTAAAATTATAGCTCCTGGATTGAATTAATGCAATCAGAGCATGGTTGAATTATTAGAAAATATATTTTGAGCATAAATGAAGCTGCAGAAATTATATGAAGCTTTGGGATGTGCATTGATTTTAAACTGAAAATACATTTCTGCATATTCTCTAGCAGAGTGAACAGTAATCCTGATTTTTTTGGTACATAATCTATAACGTTGAAACCGTATTCTTTTGTCTTTAGAAAAGCTGTGCCATAGCTCAAGCGATTAGTTGCTGGCTTCCCACAGCGGCAGCCTAGGTTTGATCCCAGGTCGGGTCAAGTGGGATTTGTGGTGGACAAAGTGGCACTGGGGTGGGTTTTCTCCAAGTACTTTGGTCTCCCGTGTCAATCTTCATTCCACCAAATTCTCCATCATCATAATCACCCAGGGCAGGTACAATAGGCCAATCAATGGTCGCCGTCCCGAGTGAACCCAGTTGGACTCCCCCCCCCCCACTAAGTGAATTTGTCTTTAGAAGAAGAAAACCCCTTGTAAAACACACTGTAAACCAACAAAAGCTTTTATTAGTACAGATTTCTTGTATAGATTATTGCTTTTGCAGTTAGAACAATTTATTTCTTACATTTCAATGTATTTGGTGAATATTTTTTCTTGGATATGCTTTGATCACATAATTATGACAATTCTTATTGTTCTTACTCCTAATAAATAGCAGTATCTCACCTGTGGATCAATCATGAGTGGCCAACGATCAGAATTGGAAAGAATGGTAGCATTTTCTGTGGACATCCTGTCACTTGGCAGACCTTCATTGTTCCATACTGCTATCTGAGCATCATCTGTTAGCAGTGATAGTGGGTCCAGTCCCTCTGTGATTGGTACTGGTGGCTGAAACAATTGTTTATCAAGTACATCCCTTGTGGTTTCTCTGCATAACTACAACAAATTAATATTGAGAACATAATGGAAGAAACAGTGCTGATATACCAAATGGTATGATCATTATTCGAAGTAGTAAGCCGTTTATAATTTATTCCTACTGCACTGAAAGCAAGTGCTACTTCGAAGATTAAGTGTCTTTTGGAAGGAATGCCATATTTTTTGAGAGAATCTACTACCTCCATATTTTCACAAAGTATTACCCTACTCTCATATGCCAGGACCTTTTGGAGAGATAACATGACATTTTGGGCTATGTCATCACAGGTGATAAAAATGTGGGTCTAACAATACGACCTTGAAACGATGTGGCAAATTGCACAATGGAATATTGTCAATTCTCCACGACCAAAAAAAGGTCCATCAGTCCAACTCAGGAGTCAAAACAATGTTGCTAACTTTTTTGATATTAGAGGGATTGTTCATTATGAGTTTGTACCAACTGGACAGTCAACCAAGTTATTATTTGGAAATTCTGAAAAGGCTGTGTGAAAACGTTAGACAGAAACACCCGAACTTTTTGCCAACAACTCATTGATCTTTCATCACAACAATGCACATGCTTATATGGTACTCTCTGTGAGAGAGTTCTTGGCTAGTAAACAAATAACTGTGCTGGAACACCCTCCCTGTTTGCCAGATATGGTCCCCAATATTGAAAGGGAGGAATTTTGATGACATTGATGACATTAGGAGTAATATGATGGCAGCTCTGAAGGCCATTCCACAAAACCAGTTCCAAAATTGTCTTCAAGGGTGGGCATAGCTTCCAGAGGGTAGCAATTTGAAGTTGACCACAGTGATATTCAGCAATGAGGTATGTAGCACTTCTACCATAATGAGTTCGTAAACTTCACTGTCAGACCACTTAAATGCTGAAAATAAAAAGAAAGCGTTTCTGAAATTGATCAAGCAAAATTAATTTCATCATGCCAGATTAACATAAAATAGAAACTACTTATTAACACAAGTTAAATGATGGCCATGTGTACCAATATGTACTATGTGGAATTTATATTTTCTTACTTCCAGACTTCTGAGGCTGGGTAGCCACATCTTGTTGAGCAAGTCTAGTCGAAACTGCTTGGTGAAGCAGCCTACATAAGAGATGAAAGCAGTTACCACAAGGACGTCACCTGGTAACATGTTGCCTTGCAGCCTGTAACTGTCACACACATTGGAGAGTTAGTATTATATGGCATGTTGCACTGAGGACTCATATTCATGCATATTCCTTGGTACCAAATTCAAGTAGAATGTGCTCAAGAGGCCATAAAGAGATAATTTATTAGTACAGTGAATTCTTCTACTTCTCTTGACAATTTCTGTTTTAATTGGTTGATGAACAAAAAGGCCCCAGCTCTTCTTCTTAAGTATTCTTCCCTTCCAGTTTCCAGAAGCACTTTCATGTTCTTGGTGTCTTCCAGGACCTGGCTGAACCATGTTGTTCTGGGCCACATCACAGATCTCAAGTTAATGTTTCTGAAACTGTCTCTACTTCCATCATCACGGACTTATGTGGTAAATAAAAAAATAAATGGGCCAAAGAAAGGTGGATTCACATTAGGTATGTGTGTCGACCAATATGAGTGAATCAGTGCATCTGTCCTTGATGAAAAGGGCAGAGACAGCCTCCAGAATGGAGTTATACTCCATACCACCACAAATAATTTTCAAAGAAGACTTAACTGTACATTGCCAACATGAAAACTACAGATTTAATAAGATTTTAGTTAGGAACCCAGCATATACTGCAGAAAGAAAACAGAAAGACACAAATATAAGATGAAACTTATTTTTTACATCATTACTGATAGGAAACCATCACATCCTAAAAATATAACCGTTCATGACGGCACGGATCTGAAAAAAAAAAAAAACTAGGAGGAAATAACAAAATTAAATTTTAGCAGAAGGGGTCAATTCTTTTAATTTGTGACAAAGTTAAGGCATACTTAGCAACAGACTCTGCCCATCGGACATTTTCTGAGGCCAGGCCTCCAACTAGACGGTTTGCTAACTGGATCGTTGCGTTAGTTGCATCTGCTTCCTGTTGACAGAGCAGCTTCTCAGCAGTTGCTTGTTCAAAGTCAGATGTCAGCTTGGCTAGCTGCTCCTCTAATGACTGCAAACATGTAAGGCACAATTGTCTTTGGCTACCATTAGTAATCCAGACAATGAAATACATTATGCTTTCCAATTAACTACTCATAACATCTGCAGCTGATGCAGTAATCCCATAAATCAATCATTCATAGTATTCAGACATAAGAAAAGATTAAAATAAAGTCTGGATCAGATACTTATAGATTATTAAAGGGAAAAATCCTTACTCAGTATCCATCCAAGTACTGAGTCAAAGGTGAACCCTCCAACTTGGACACAGAGGATGTGATCATTGGGTGCACGGTCAGGGCTCCTGCACACCTCAGGAGGTGATGACAGATGAGCAAGGAGTAATTTTTGAATGATGATTAAAAGACAAAGCTGAAGTAACTTTGAGAAAAAACTCCTGTAATTCTAATTTATCCATCATGGATCTCACATAAAGTCACCTAGGATAGAACCTAAGGCTCCAAGATGAGAAATTAAATTAAGCATAAGACACTTACAACAACTTTTTGCTTGATTATGCTCAACTTTTCTTGTGCTACAGCAAGCTCTGCATTCGCTTCAGCCAGTGCTTGGCGCTTAGGCTCAACATCACAGTAAACTTCATAGAACTTGATGATGTTTATTACCCATGCACAGAGACCTGAGAAAATCATACATTGTCAGTCACCAGCAAAAATATGTATATAGTACATTTCATTTTAAGGTCCCTCAACAAGTGCGTGTGCATTTACACATGCACGCACACACAAAAGAAAACCAGTGAAGCTCTAATTTCTAAGAATACATCCTGTGGTCTACTTCATCATTACACATGTCTAAAATTGTTGTACTATTCCAGTGATGGGGAAAGTAGAAAATGGCATAGTTCTTAGTTCCACCAGGTTCTTGTACAACAATAGCATTCATTAATAACTGAAAGCTCTCGATGGGAATACTTTATTATTGTGTGTTCTTCGCATTAAGAGCATTAGAGTGGATACATATTATGAAGCTTCTGTCATTTTCCCACATGTTTTAATTAGGAAAATGAATGTGATGTTTCACTAAAACTTGCCACAATTTGTGTTCAGATAATCATCAACTGGTGCCAAAGTCAAGGATATGTGGAACTATGCATCCACTCCCCCAGATGCCTTTATGACTTAGTGCTTAAGTAGCTAAGGTCAAGGACAACTTTCAAGGTCATTCCATCATCTCACATTGCTGATCTGCAGGATAACTCCCTTGCTACCTGCTCAACCTACTTACCAACATACTTACGTGTACAGTCTCATGGATGAGAAAAAAGTTAAGGGGTGGGTGAAGGGTTGATGATCTTGACTGGCCAAAAGAAATATCTTTGACCATGGTTTCTGTTGTTCAAAATATAACTCTTATCTATAGTGAAGCTCAAACTGAACCTGAGGATTTTTTTTTACAAAGAGAATATTGTACAAAAAAAAACAGTATAGATTGTAATATACAGACATGATTAATATCTAGGCCTACAATTTTTATTTTAAACATTCCTTGGTATTCTGAATATTTAAAGAAATATGTAAAAAACAGGGAGCTGGGATGACTCAGTATAGTGACCAGACTACAGAGTTAATGACCAAGAAATCAAGATTCAGTTCCTGGCATGGGCAGTGATTCTTTCTTCCATGCCAACAAGATCGGCTCTTTGGCCCACATAGTCCCCTGTCCAATTTGTAACAGGGCTTTTTTCTCAGGGGTAAAGCTGGCAACAAGCGAAGGTAACCACTACTTCCATCCAGTGCCAAGGTTAAGAACGACGTCTTCGTGGTTCATTGATTAATAAAGCACAGGGGAAATTTTACTTTCAACACATAAAAATTATTTCTGACTATGTAACGTTACATTTAGAGCATGATTAGATTTACAGTATATTTTCATCTGTGAAAAAGGAATATTAAGGTGCACGAGATATGTAAGGCAATAAGTAATGAACCTGTAAAATATGCTACTCCACTGGAGTATACCTTTCTTGATATTCTTTGTTGTTGTAACACAGCAAGTATAAAGACTATATAGTGCCAATGGTAGAATGATAACTGAATTGGAGAGCATTTAGAAAGAACTTGTCATTGCCTAAATCAAGGTACTATCCAAGCATATGCATGCAGAATCTGAAGTTTCCAAGCTGAGTTTATGGCCAATCATCTCCCAGATAGTCTAGAGCATCTGAATTATGCTAAAGCACTCGCTTCTTTTCACTCTTGCTTCACAAAGATGACAAGTGAATGGTGAGTAACGCTGTGGTCACAGAGCTCAACAAAAATTAAAAATCAAGGTGGGACCAGGTTTTTCCCACTTCACAAAGATTTGACTCTATTATGATAGAAAGTAATCTAAAGTTATACATATTTCAAATTCTTACCTGCAGCAGCACCTGACTTGGTGCGAACAAACTCAGGATCAAACTCTGAGTCCTTCAGGTATGGCTGGATTGCCTTTATAACTTCAGGATGTATGTTTTCTTTGTCATATTTGATAAGTGAATCAAGGAATGAATCCACTCTAGCCATCATTAGCTGTAAAGAAGAATATAATATATATATATATATATATATATATAGAGTTAATTGTTCACCTCAGTATGCTATTATAATAGCATAATATTATATTATATACCTTGATATTATAATACCTTGATTCAATCAATAATTATTGATTGAATCCAGTACTTACCAACTAAACTGTCTTCCATTTAGGATTCAAGGTTCTCACAGAGATGGTTATGAAGAGTACTATCTTCTGGGATATAACGCTGTGTAGTCCGTTGAATAGGCCATCTGCTTTTATGCTGTTTCTTGCTCTGAATATTATTTGACCTTGAAGATGGAGGCGATGTGTTCCCCTGAAACGTCTCTTGACTTTCAGTGAACTATGCAGAATTATATCCCAGAAGGCAGTACTCTTTAAACTGTCTTCCATTTACTAACATATAATTACTATATTTAGGAGAAATGTTTACAAATGCAGTAAATATTTTCTGTTGGTGCAATATGGTTTAGAAACATATTTTCTGAAATCTGAATATCAGCAATGAATGTGTGAATTAAGATTCTCCTGCAATGTCCTGTCTCCTGCAATGTGATACCATATATCTCTATTTTCTGCATCCTCCTGTGTGTCATGTATCAAAGGTATATTTTTGGACTGGCAACACAAAAGACTGCAATATTAAAACGTTTAATATTTGGGTGTTATGCTCATAGTAGCAGGAGATAATTATAAGTTTTATGTGAGGCTGAGTAAGCGAGGTGTCATCCATTAGATGGTTGATCACAACTGGTGGATGAGACAACACTATGATGTCTCACATCCATCAGTCAGCCATTCCAAAGTGGCAATGTAAGGGAACACTTACAGGCACAGTGAACCAAATATGGGAAAGTTTTTAGAATGGAAGCACAACAACCAACAAGAGTTGTCGATTCTAGGGCATCTTCCCAAGTGGGCAGCATTTATGTGTCCATAAGCATGTATGAAACGCCTTAGTTGTGAGTACTCTGGGACCTAATTTGGGTGAAGACATTGATACCAGACTCTGTGTCATAAGGCAGAAGGGATGGCGCAAGTTCTCATCATCCTCACGTTCATCAGTATGAGTGAGTAAATTGCCTGTATTCGGGTCACTAACAGTAGATAACAGAACTCTGGTTCACCTCAGATACATGTTTTAGCAGGTTATTTTAGGTAGGTTAGCCACAGATTGTATGTAGTTATTTAACTGGATCCATTACGTTTTCTTCAGTTTCTGAAGTGTCGAGTTGATTTACTGTTTTGCAACTATTAGTCACACTGGATGGAGTAAGAGATATTTGCAGGTGACCGGTGGTCAAGTGGTGAATCTAACACGTTTGCTGGCCTGCTATACGCAATATTAAGACAAAAATAATTGGTTTATATGCTATATGAAGCATATAACAGAATCTGAAGAAAATATCAGAGCTTTTATTAAATAAAGAAGGGAAAAATTATTTCTTTTATTCCTACAGTTTCAGTGTTCTAAAGCATACTACAAGCATTCACAACTTTTATCCATCCATACTGCAGCAGGCAAAGCTTTTACCTTTGCAGCCTTCCAACTGCGATCCTTTGGAATCTTGCCATTTGGAGCTAGCAAAACCATTACAGCAGCAGTGACGTTTGTTACAGCACCTGGCGGTGACCCAAATGACTTCAGTTCAGTCAAGTTGCCCTGGGGAAGCAAAGGAAGCAAACTTACAGTCTCACCTTCTTCATCATTACTATTCATTAACATAACATATTAGAATATACAAGATGTCTCATTAACCCTTTTCCACATTCTTCAAATTCACTGCATACTGACACTATCAAACTTGTTATAATTTAAATGAACATTCCAGTTCAGTTCAGTTCAATTCAGATAAGTTTTATTCATTCTTTTCAGGCAAACAATTGACATAGGATGTCTTATACACATACCTGAAAGTAACATAAATATTTTAACAAAATTCCTTCATAACACGGCGCAATAAGGACACAATTCAGACTCAGACTCTGTAGCTATTTGTCTACAGAGTGAAATGTATATTGTAATAGACAGGATTCTAGCTCTCTTTTACATTGCCTTTATACACTATGTTCTAGTACACAATTTATGGTACATGATACTCCATTTTAATACATTCTAGTGCATCAGGTATGAAATAGTGAACTAGGGATAAATACATGATCATTTATTGAAAAGTATAAATATATTTTCATTACACCACGATTATCATCGTATTTACATTTATGAAGCAGTTATAAATTAGTTTTCAATCATGCCTCAGAAAAGTATGCAACTCTCAATAATGAGAATATGTAATGTTTTTTAATTTATTGTAAAAATAATGAATGGGACAAAATGAGTAGAAGAATGTCTTATGTAAGTGTATTAATTTTTGTGTATTTAAACCAACATTCACTGACTTGTGGGGAACAGAATGATTAATATACAGTATATTCCAGTTTATAAGTAGTAAGTGAGAAAATACTGTGACATGTCAACGCACTGCCGGGCACCGCCTTGGTAAACAAACCTCAACAATAGGAAAACTGTTTTCTCTATGTGGTCCACCCTGAGCAAGAACATGGAGATATAGGAAGTCCATTGCCAGGTAATGCAGTGGTAAATATGCATCCACAACAGAAGATGGTGCTTTCTGTGGGGTCCGTGCAAAGGGGTTATCTTGAAAATAATACTGTGAAGTTCAAAGATGTACTTATAATATTTGAGATTTACTGTCTTAGAGAAAGAGAACGTGCCTATTTTTTAATGACTACAATTTGTTATCAGCCATACTCTTTGATTTAGTAAATACATATTGCAATATATTTGAAAGCACATATAATCCTTCATATAACATGAAAGACCATGAATATTTCTATCTTCAAGGAAGTATCAAGTAGTGTGATGAAAGCAAAACCTTCAATTAACCACATGTCATCATGTCGTAGAAGGCAGAAATTTTCAGGCTTCTTCTGGTAGAAGTTTGAATTTCAAATGGACGATATGGCATTATATCATGAAAGAGAGAGCTCTTCACAGTCATCATTGTGAGAGCCTCATATTTATTTATTTATTTATTTTGTCTCTATAGATCATTGTTATATGATATAGGACAAGTCAGTTACTGTACATTGCCTGATTACAATAAGAGAATAAAGTTACAATACTTACAATTGTTTACAGTAGATTACAATAGTTAAGATTTCATATAGTGAGAGGTGGAATCCATATTAGGTCCCCTCGGCACGTCGGCTTCCATATGTCCTATTGTACCTGTACTGGTGATAATGCTTATGGAGAATTTGATGGAATGAGGATTGGCAGGGGAAACCGAAGTACATGATACACTATGTTGACTGATTTGTACTATAATTACTTTGAAATTATATGTTTTAGTAATGACTCACTATCACATTTCATCAAACGATATATACTTAGAGCACTAGTATTATATGGGGTGGATGGGTGCTGAAACCATTTTGAGAAACAAGATCAAAGAATGTCAATATATTTCAACAAATTCTTATTGTGAGGCAAAACACTTTCACGAAACATGTGCATACACCTTCAGATAATGTGAAAAAAGACCATATATCTAATGTGGGATACTGATTTTAGACTTTCATGGCAGTTCAATTATTGATGTTATTTCTGTTCTGGGTGGTTTGCCTCGTGTGGATATTTGCAATGTTGTCAATGTTTAGGAGGTACATACTTCATTCATCTTCAAGGCTGAAGTGAGTAGTCTAATTGCCCAATTTAACTTTAGAAATGGAAGTAGCATGTACCTCTAAAATGTCAACATTGTCCACACTCACACAGTGTAAAAATCCATAAACAGGCCTAACAGCTAATATGGGTGTTACATATTGGTAATCTGAAAACTATGGTTATTAATATAGCCAGACAATACAATACTGTTTCCTTGCTAAAGGTCAGTTATCATATAATGGAAATTCTAATCCTTGAATGTTGGAAGCATATATGTCATAATTTCTTTGTAACTTTATATGCCACTAAAGAAGTTCTTCAGTTCTGCATATGACCGAAATATCAATTTTTGGACCTTCCTCTGACTATTTCATGAATAGTGTCATGTTGCAGTGCCAAATACTAGATATTTTGCTGGCTCCAGAAATTAAGTGAAGTACAACGTTCTAAGATCCTGCTGGATGACAATGAATGAACGTTACTTAAACTTTTGAGACCAACTTTTGACCAAAATGATAGGCCAAAGAGCACCTGTATGACACTGACTCATTGACCTTTTACAAGCAGTCTTACATTTTTGCCATTTAAAAGCCTTTTCAAAGCCAGGGATTTCATGATTTATAAATGTTACAGATTTTATTTAAGAAATATCTATGTGGATATGGAATTTGTTCAATTCAAAAGAAGACATTTGAATTCCTGAACTGATTAATATATTTTTTCTTTGCAATGAAAATAAATAAAAGTTACTAATGTTTAATTTTGTACCACTCACTGTGAAACACTTCACATCACCTTGTTCAGGGTGTTGAGGGCTTGCTGTGCAGCTGTGAGAGCAGGTTCTGCCTTTGCCAAGTCTTCCTCACAGTCTTTTTGTTTCTTGCTTACTTCCTCAGCTATAAGTCCCACTTTGCACTCTTCCTCATCCGCTATAATAGTGTTGATACAAATAAATATATGAGTTTGTATTTATATACATATGTACCTACAGTGAACATCTCAACTCCAGTCAGTTATCAAAATGCAGTTCAGCACCCATGAAGTTATGCTGTTTGTATCAATTTAATTCTACAGAAGAATGTGATGGAAGAAGAGTCAATATATTTCAAGTTTTCTGACAAAAATACTGCAATGGATTTGATCAATGCATTACTGAGCAATGACTCGGTAAATAAAAAGCAACAATAGAAAGGAAACTGTGTTTTCTATGCGCGGGGGTAAAGGGTGGCCGCCACATAAGGCTGCCAACCTCACCACCATCTGTGAGTCAATTATCTAGAAAATGTGTCAACCATAACCTCTCACAACCATATGGGCCTTCACAGCATGTTACAGGGATAGCTTCACCTTTACCTACCTTCTGGATGTGACTACTAAGTAGCCTGGCGGAAGATTACCAACACACCTCTAAAATATCAGTGAACTTCTATCAGACTATACAGTTTCATATTGCAGTAAATAGTATTTTTGATAGCAACCAGTGTGAGAACCTCAGTCTCACATATGTGACTTACTTTCCAGTTAACGTTTCTTTCTTATGATGCCAAAATAAGACAGCACAATCTCTGTGCATTTTCAGACATGAACATTGTACCTGATACATAAGCCATATTGCATCATACCTATTGCTTTTTCTGTGGACACTTTCTCTGTTTCAACTCTGACAATTTCAATAAGTGCATCTGCTGCTTCATTCTTCTGTTTCAGCTCCACTTCCTGAACTGCAAGTTTGGCCTTCAAATCCTCAACCTGTGAAGATACTCCACTTCAGATTATCTGAAGTAACTACTTTTCATTGAAATTCAAACATTTCTAAAGATGAAATGAAACAGGAAGTGAGAAACAACAAAAAATTTTGCCCAAATTATATTTTTTAATAAACAATAATTTCTTAAGAAATTCAGATCCCATATGTTCCTGTGTCAGTGGCAGCATGACATGTAACTGGCAACTATAAGTGACACAGCATGACATGTAACTGGCAACTATAAGTGACACAGCATGACATGTTAACTGACACATGACTAGCCTATTTGCAGGCATCAGTGTAACAGGGTGGCTATTTGGATCTTACTTTAGATTATGCAATTTATTACACTTATTTAACACTTTGACTGGCACGAAGGGTATTTAAATCTCACCCCTGTCCTGGCAGGCCCTTTAAACCTTATGTCGCTAAAATGCATGTAGTTACTTTTTCCTAAACAACTTCAACAAAAATTGGTTTTTAAAAACGAAATTTTTAGGAACTAATTAAAATACAATAATTTATGCAATAAATGCTTTTCCACGCCTCTTTATTTGTTTTTCTTCGTGTGATAAACATTGAAACATGAAAGTTTGCAGAGAGCCACACCACAGCCTGCACACATGATACTTGTTTCTTTTCTAACCTTGTGCTTAGCACTCACGCGACACTTTCTCAGGGCACCATTCTTCTTATTGTTACTGTTAGGAACATGGACCATTTTGTGAATTTTCAAGCCACCCTCTAGACGATTTGCTGGCTCTTTCACTGGTGGTCTTTTCAAGGTCGAGGGCGGAGGCGTGACTGCACTCTAGTCTGACCCAATAGATTCGTCATCCACTTCATTCCTTGACTTTTCTCCCTCTCCACACTGTTTGTTTGGTTCAGTCATTTTTCTACACAGTCCAATATAAAATCTTTGAATCTGTAATTTCTCTTCTTGTATTTTTCGTTTGTTGTGTTCTTTTTGAATAGAATGAAACTATTCAACCGCAAAGACATGTTTTGTCCATACCATGGGTGTGAAATAGGGGCCTAGTGGACAAATATTCTTCAATTTCAGGGCGTTTGTCGATTCCTGTCATGAACACAATTCCTAAGTATGTCCAGATTTAATCTGATGTGACATAATTATAATTGTGTTTTCGAGAGTGAGGAGCTAACTCATGTGTGTTGAAGTGCTGGTGAGCATAGCGATTGGTTTCAGTTGTGATGTGATTTACCAAGTCGTCATCCAGAAAAAATTTTAATCCATGAAAAGGGATGCATTTTATGTGTTATATCAATTTTGATCCCGAAACTATTAGCAAATGGAAATATTGGGGGTACAATGTCTCCGTACGTTCATGAGATGGGCGTGTCAGGCACCGCACTCGTGGTAGGTAAATGTTCATGATTACTGTCTTGTGGATCATTGTCTATCACTGTATTATTGTCACTATCAACTTCATCCAATTCAGGAATCATTATTTCATCGCCACTATCATCATCAGAAAAAATTTCGTTCACAACATTTTCCAGCTGGTCTGTAGGAACACGAAGACACTTGCTGCAAGAAGCTATGGTGAAACTGAATGAATGTGAAATATTTTCTGACCTTTACCTTCTCAGAGGGTTCTGACAGTAATATAGACCCCCACAAAGTTTACAAGGGTTCTTTACAAACATGCACAAAAACTATCATATATATGTCTTTGGTTGATGAGTGCCAAGAGAGCAAAGAAGGGACGAGATTGTCAAAGCGTTAAAACACGCCAACGCCAGGGAACGGCTGGCATCGTCCGGGCGTTAAAACACGCCTGCGCCAGTCAAAGAGTTAAGATGTCCAGAAAGAAGCCATGACGTTCAAGTACATACAGCAAAGTTATGGGTAAAAATGTATAAATATTATTACAACTACTGACCAAAATATTTCCATAAGAATACACCTACACATGGATTAAACTGGCATGTGTTTAGTCCAGCAAGAGCAGCAATCAAGTCAAGTTCTTTGATTGGACTGTATCACTTTTCTTTCTTCTTTTTAAATCCTAGACAGACATAATGCAATGCCCAATACACAACCTTCCATATTTCCCATCTAATGTAATTTACTAGCAAGGGTTATAAATTTAAATAGCACACAGAATTGCAGGTATTGACCAACTTGTGCTATTTTGATTCATGCAGGTTTTGGGTTAAAATAATTTCATATTATTCTTTTTAAATTTAATTATTTCATATGCTGGAAACTTGCTCACAGTATTGCATAATCCACTAAACAGTGGAACTGAATTAGCTGTATTTATTAAAAATGGCCATAACTCCTAAATCAAAAGGGATAAACCAAACCAGGCTGCATTTTTGAGAAGCTCGTATTCATTAATGCATTTTACTTGCAATATGTACAGATCCATCTACATGGTCCGATGAGCAGATTTCCAATGTAACGAACTTAACAGTAGAATGTAGGTTACTTTTCTTTTTGCTATTGGGGTGGGACTAAGTCTCTTGTACTGCAGCCACTGGGCCACTGCGGTGGGAAGCCAGCGACTAACTGCTTGAGCTATGGCGCGGCCATGCGAAGGGTACTTAGTGGTGAAGGTATCAATAATTACAAATTGTTATATTTTCTGTTACTTATTGATTATTTCCATTTGAACCCTCATATAATGTGTTCTGTGTTAAAAATTAATATATCTACTACTTATTTCCTACATGTGAGCTACACGTCCCACCCTACAAACATCTATTTAATTTGAAGAAAGTTGTCTTCTGGGTTTAGGCACCGTGTATTCTTCGTTTTGGCCGACGTTTCGGAGGAACGTAGCGCCTCCATCTTCAGAGCAGTTGAATAGCTGCGGAGAGCAGTAGCTGTGGTGATAGGATGTGGAAGGTGCTGCTTATATACGAAGTAGGCAGGGGGGGTGGTTAGGGAGAACGGACCAATGGGAGCAGTGGAGAGCGATTAAGGCCATATATGGTGTGTGACTAAGGGCGAGGGGGAACGGTCAGTGAGTACAGGAAACTTGAGGTCAATAGCACTAGGAAGTGCGGTAGTCAAAACCGGTAGGTTGAGGACAGGCTATTGACGTCAATGACATGACGAAGAACTGGTGTGGCTTGTAGGATTCTCTTGAGGGAAAGGATGTTTCACGTCTGTCGAGATTGTTGAGAGCGATAAAGGCCATATGATGTG